GGAGAATTCCAGCCTGGAACGGTGCAGATGGGTTAAAACAGGCGGAGAATTCCAGCCTGGAACAGTGCGGATGGGTTAAAACAGGCGGAGAATTCCAGCCTGGAACGGCGGATGGGTTAAAACAGCTGGAGGATTCCAGCCTGGAACGGTGTGGATGGGTTAAACAGCTGGAGAATTCCAGCCCGGAATGGTGCGGATGGGTTAAAACATCTGGAGAATTCCAGCCTGGAACGGTGCGGGTGGGTTTAACAGCTGGAGAATTCCAGCCTGGAACGGTGCGGATGGGTTAAACAGGTGGAGAATTCCAGCCTGGAATGGCGGATGAGTTAAACAGCTGGAGAATTCCAGCCTGGAACGGCGCATTCCACTCACATAATCAGGGCTGAGCAGGGAATGTCTGGCCAATCTAGGCTGGGTCTCCGAGGGAGCGTGGCTGGGAGGCTGCAAACCTGCTCGCATACTAATCTGGGCACTCACACTGAACAGCCCCAGTTCCCCCATCTCCCTGGAATTTGCTGGATATCCCAGCCCTCCACATTAATTACCGGTGGATAAAGAGATCATAGCGGAGCATCCGAAGGCACCGCTGCGCTGAGCTAAATGGCATTAATTAGGCTGCATCTATTTCAGCAATTTGCTAACAAAGTGCTACAAAAAACGGCCTCACCTGATATTATCCTCTGGCTCGGGTTCACTGTCACTGTCCTCAGCTTTCCGCTTAATTCCTCCTCCTCCCAGGGCTGGGCTGCCATCAGGAGTCAGGCTGGTGTTTGGAGATGCTGAAGGTGTCTGGGGTCAGAGTTATTACAGATAAATAGGGGAAGGAGGGGGGGAGAGGAGGATTTATTAGGCATTTTAAATTCAAGTTACAATTAACAGCTCTGTGATAATCACACGTGTTACTTTCAGCTCCAGAAAAACTCCAGGCAAAGGCCACACAGCCCTCAACCCGTTAGGCCAAGGAGCAAATGGAAAGAAGAACACACCTCTATTAAAAGGCAGGCATTGATTTCACACAGGCAAAAATGTCATTGGATTGGAGAAAGAAAAGGATGCAATAAACAAGACAGCAGAAATTGGTAAAACATGCCATTCCGGATATATTCCCATTTTGGAACACCCCTGTTTGCTCTAGTCCTGCAGCCTCTGTTACAGCTTCATTTTGCAGCACCAGTGAAAAACACGCACGAGAAAAAAAAATGATGTTTCTAATTCAGAACTGTCAGAAGTACTGAGTTTCTCCACAGCTGGTCTTTTAAACTCCTCTCAGATTTATCTATTTTAATATTACAGAGTCAAAAAGAAACGTCTCCTGTTCCATAAAGGAACTAATGTGCTTAACTCAGGTGCAAAAGTTTCAAGATTAAAAGGGAAGAACAGCAGAAATTATACCTTGAAAAAGCATATTGTATTTAGACTTCAGAGACAGAACCCACACCTCTACGATGAAAAGGACCTTTAATTTTTTCACTGTTTGGACGAAGATTTATATCCAGAAAGAAAATATCTGTCATAACTGTTATTTCAAGGTAACAACCAAGACTTCTAACAGAGCACCCAACTTACTTCCAGTTTTCCCTCACAAAATTTCATCCAAGTTTCTCCTTTCCACAAAAACTGGTGCTTAAAAGCCACTTCCTCGAAAAAGAACGTTTTTGGCGTCTGCTTTTCAAGAAAGCTCAGTGGGGTAGAGGAAAAAAAGGTGTCCAGAGTGCCACGGGAGGTGATTATTTCCCTCCTCTGTGCCAACACCTCTGAACATCTACTTACAGAGTTCTGCCTCTCGTGCATCCTCATCTCAAAGGCGGCTTGCCTGGGGTTACAGATTGCCTGAGGGCTGGATCGATTGCCCAGGGCTTGGGGGGAGAACTGCCCACCAGGAATGAAAGCAGGCTGATCCCTCTGCAAGATAAACACAGACAAGCCCCCTGAACGAGCTGTGTAATCCCCCCAGCAGCGAGATGATGCTCCCTCACAACTCTCAGGTTGACACCTTACACAAACCCAGCGCAATTTACACACTCACATCAGCTTCAATTACTTATGTTTAGTGATCTTCACCAGACTTCTGAGTTATAATTTATTAAGCTCTTCTACAAAACTGCCAAAAAAACCCTGCATTTTGTGCCCGTGTTCTTTCTGCGTGGGCCAAAAGGCAGTTTTTGGGGGGCTCGGTCTGACTTCCTGGGAATAACACGCTCTTTGTAAGCACAGTGAAAAACCTCTGCCACCCTAACGGGGACAGTCAGAAAAATCATCATCATCATTTAAAAAATGAACACAAGATCTGGAGAGCACTCAGGGAAAACATGCACCCTGACAGTTTTGGAAGCTCCACTTCCCCGAATGCCCCACCCAAGAGCAGAGCCGTGTGGAAATAAAAATGGGCCTTGTGATATTTTCAAAATATCACAAAATTCTGGGAATAGAAGAAAATTCGCCCCAATAATGGAATTTTAAATTTTTTAACTTTCAAATGGCTTACACACAGGCCAGAAAGCACCTGCAGTTCCAACCACCACACCTGCCAAAACCTGAAGTATCAATTTTAATTCTTGCTAGTTTTTTGCATCAGGTAAGGAATTCACTTACCTTCAATCTTTTCTTTTTTTCCTTCTGTCGTCTTTTAAAGTTATCCTAGATGAAGAATAAAGGGAAATAAAGTCAGCCAAACATACAGGTTTCTTGGGAAATGATTTCATTACAATCCTCAACTGACCAAACCGTGAGGTTTTTAGGGAATGTTCTGAATAAGACGTGGGACAATTCTCCTGTCTGTAAATCCAACAGAAAGGGGATGGAATTTTCTGCTCTACCCTGAAAATCTATGGGGGGAGGAAAAAAGCAGCTGGGCATTCAAAGCCCCACAATTTTGGTAGTGGCTTAAATGATGTACTGAGTTTAGCTGCAGCCTCAGTTCAGGGTGCCAGCAGTGCCAAAGGACACGAGCTTGGTGCCCAGGCTGGAGAGCTGCCAAAAAAACACAGGAGAGACAATAATGTCCTAGAAATAGAAAAAGAAGAGACTCAAGGAAAGATATTTCTCATTCTATGATTCCTAGGCCTGAGAGCTGAACATCAAACTGGCATTTCCACCTCCAGGAGAGGTGCAGGCTGGGGCAACAATATGCCAAACATCTTGCCAACACTGGCACAGTAATCTGAATTCCAAGTGCCTTCTTTCCAGTCAAAAATTACTGAGAATCATAGATTAACAAACCACAAAATTTGGCTTTTTTTTTTTTTCCCTTATTCTCTTAAAGGAGGGTCCCGGGCTAACAGTGATTAAAACCAAGCTCCAAGGATGTAACAACAACAAAAAAATTACATCGTCGTCTTTCCTCTTTTTGAAGATACTGTCCTCGACTTCTCCCACCGCCAGCATGATCATCTGCACCCGCTGCAGGTTGACAAACCCGCTCTCTGTGAGGTACCCCTGCAGGTCAGAGAACAGCAGAGTTGAAAAACAAGCCTGTTTTGTAGCAAACCCCCAAATATTTTCAAAGGAAAAGCTCTCACCCCGGTTTTGTGCACCACGTTCTTATAGATGTTCACCAAGCGATCAATCGCTCCCTCCCTAAACACAAACCAAAGTGTTAAATAACTCCTGTTATTCAGAAACACAGGGAGCATTCCTGCAGGGAAAGAAAACGTGTTCCCAGCTACCTGATCTCCAGAGATGGCAGGTGGGGCAGGAAGTCATTTCCCACGAAGAAGCACATGAAGACCCAGTCGTCGACACTCCTCTCGAAATCAAACGTGAAAGGCAGGCTGGCCATGGTGAGCTCTCTCTCCAAATACTGCAACACGTGGAAAAGGACATTGGGAAACGCTGCATGGAGTTTAAAATAAGTTCCACAAAGCAGCTGGAGGAACAGCTCCACCTCACCTCCCTCAGGACGCACAGGCGGATGAAGATGAACTCCTGCTCCGCCACGGGAAGGGTGTCGGCAAACTGGTCGTGCTGAAAGCAAAGGGGAGCCACGTTACACCCCAGCTCTCCTCAGAGCTTCTCCAGCTCCATTTCCAGGGAGTTAAGAAGGCTACAAGAGCAGGCTCCCAAGCCCTCGTGCCGAGCATGCATTTTGCTGCTTTGCCTGCCTGTTAAGTTACTGATCATCTCTTCTCACCAGTGATAAAAAAACCCAAACAACAAAATACCACAAGTGAGGACATCAGCTTTGGCATAATATTCTTGTACAATTTTCACCTCTGAGAGGACAGCCAGGTATTTGCAACAACAACTTGCATCATGCTTCAGCCAAAACCAACAGCAAGAACTATTTGAGGATCTCATTATACACGAGCTTGTAGATTAAAAAAAATAAATCTAGAAACAGCAAAATTCTTACCTTTCCTTGTTTTTCTCTGGGCAAACCTTGGCAATCCTTAACCTCATGACCCATCTGGTTACAGAGAGCACACGGCTTGGGTTTGTTTGGCTTGAACTCCTCCCTAATTATAGTGAAGTTTGGTTCGTGTGTGGCTAAGCCAAGCATAATCAGATCAGCTACCAATCAAGAAAAGAGAAAAATATGATGAAAGGTAAACAGTATTAAGCTTTAAAAGTAACAAAAAAACCCCACAACTTTAGAAGCAAAGTAGATTCTACCTTCAGCAAGTGTGCTTTACCCACAAACCACCCCCCCAGGACAACCCCAGGGAGCTGTGGGCAGGGCTGGACCCTTCCCCATCCTTTACACAGAGCTTTCCAAAACTGACAAATCCACCGGATTATTTACACATTCCCAAGTGAGACACAGTCCAATTCAATCCCAGAACAGCACAAGAAAGCTTAACAGGACACATTTCTAGCAAGAGAGAACTCACCATCAGCCCCACACAGACAGTGGTGAGTGTTTGGGTCATGATTTGGTTGAGCTGTACAAAAGAAAATTACATTTAGTCAAAGTCATGCAACATAAACTATTATTGGCCACACCTTAATTTAAAAAAAAGGTCCACATTTATTTGAGTTTTACCTCTCTGTCTCCTAATGTAATCCATGATTTTATGTTCCCCTTCACCAGGAGCGCTGGCATCCGACAAAATAACCTGCAACACGTTCAAATTGTGTCAATAATTAATGCTGCCACTGTACAAAATCAACAATTTATGCAGTTCATACACTGAATACAGAACCTGACCCATGAACACTCAAAATTCTCATCTGCAGTTTCAACTATTTCAAAATGAAACTATTGAAGAGCCTGGAACCAATGAACCTTCATTTTTCCCCCACCAGTTCCAGGATGAAAGTGATGTACTGATTCAAATCCCACTGAAGTGATCAGGCCACATTTTTGTTTCCTGATAAATTACCAGGGCAATGAAACAGGCACTAGAGAGCTCACAGATTAAGCACACACGTGTCTGCTTCCCTTTGGATCTTCCCAACTCACTGATGCCCTGAAACATGATCACAGCAGGCCCCTCCTCGCCCTGACGTCAGTTCTCAGCGTAAGCATTTATTAAGCACTAGCTTAATAAAGCATTAGCATTTATAAAAACTCAGGCCTGATGGAGGGAATCAAGCAGAGCCAACTGCCCTCTAATTAGGCCACTTGAACAGTCAACTCATGGCAAACAGCACGGGCAGCTGCATTAACTGAATCCTCTGCCCCCTCGTACAGAGCAAACACAGGACTGGCAGAAACAAAACTGGGTGGGAGTGGAGTGCTTGAGGAGAGGGAGAGAGAATTTCCAAGTCCAGAAAGGCAAGCGAGCTGACATGTATTATTTTCATTGCCTGCCATCCATCATCAGAGCAACAGAGAAAATGCAGCCCACTGAGGGGGCGATTAGAAAAAAGGAAACGGGGCAAAAATTACATCTACAGTGTATCTTGACACTTTCCCCAAAAGAAGCAAAAGTAATCCCTAAAGCCCTGTCTCCCATTATGTCAAATTGTGGCTTCTACTGGCAAACCTCCTCTTTGCTCTTGAGTGAAATCAAAGCAAATGGTGCTGGGAGATGGAGTTATCAGGACAAAATGGTCTCTGAAGCCACAGCGGGACGCGCGAGTCGGCCCGTTGTTAATAAAAGCACAGCGCCGGGCCAAAGAGATAAATCTGTCAAATTCCTGCTCTTCAATCAGATCCCAGCCCAGCCCAAACACCTCCTTCATCTCTGTCAAGTAGGGAGCCGGGAACTCACGGTGAGGTTCCTCCAGCCCGGGTCGCTGTTGAGGCGGTCGGCGATGTAATAGCGCAGGCATTTCGCCAGATTGTCCATGAACTCCGTCCCCTGCAAGGGGTGGGAAGGAAATAAATGAAACCTCCGTTCAGACGCTGGCAAATCGCTGGGTGAAGTGCCAGCTCACTCACCGGGGTGATGCAGTTGCTGTCGAATCTCTCCTTCACTTCTTCTGGAGGGAGAAAACCACCTGGAGCAACAGAAACAGGGTGCAGAGTCACATCAGCGTGGACCATTTAAAACATTTCTGCACGATAAAACCCCAGGTAACAATTAACTCACCGAAATCAGTTTCTTAAAAAAAAACAACCCAACACCCACAAACCAAAATTAAACCAGCTCTTACCATTATATTATCTCCAAGTTTGAGGTGTCAGTACATCTACAAACACGACTTTAGCAAACACGGCTACACGTTCCCCTTTCACTCCAGCCATGTCACCATCACCCTCAGAAAGTTGCTCTGACTTTTTGTTTCCTCACTGAATTTAGAGTTTCCACTGTCAAGTAACCCCCCTTGCTTGCAGCTCATTATCCCTGTGTAGGAGTGTTTCCATCTGATCCCTGCTTTTAAGCCTCAACACTCCTTGCCTCGAGCCCTACAAATGTGTACTTCCTTCCACAAGGGTGTTTTTGGTTGCTTCCTCACTGCATTTATCCCTGCTCTCCTGTTCAATTTATTTTCAAAAGGAATTAAGAGCACTCAACACAAATTCATTTCAGGTAGGAGACAGAAGAAGGAAAAAAGTGACATTTTGTTTTATCTTAGTTCTTAACTTTGGAGCCTTCTGCAGGCTTGTTATCCCCTCCTTCTCCCAGCAATGCAGAGACATTCCTTTTCTAAACCTTACTGAGTCTTTCAAAACAAGGTGATTCTCATCAGAAAACCTCCCATACGGTCACTGGTTCACCTTTGGCCAGAATCTCTTGTCTTATTTTCTGTTTCTCTTCAGCAGCCTCCATGCCCTCCTTGGACGCTCTGAACCTCCTCGACCGCTGTTGGTTCATTTTGGCACGTGGGGCCTAAAAAAAAAGGAATGAGATGGGCTTGAAGGTCCTTTCCAACCCAAACCATTCCACAACTCTAGGTACCAGGGGGAGATGAGGATAAGGGGGGGAGAAAGACGAGCTTCCAGCCCCAAAGGTCCCTTAAGGCTGTGAAATATTCCACACCACAACTCCATCACTGCCCATCTGAAGTGCAGCTGCTCAAACCAGCTGCTCTGGTCCTTTCCAGCCTGTGCTGTAAACTGTTCCTAAAGCCACAGAACAGGGGAGCAGAAGTAGTCTCAGAGAGTGTTACTGTCTTTTACAAGTTTCCAGCAAAGCTCAGGCTGCAGCAGACTCCATCAGCCAGCCTGTGGATAACAAACCCCAGCGGTACTACAGATTACCCTCACCAAAATTCAATTAACAGTCTATTTTCATTTTAGAAAACTATTTCCCGAAGGATCTCACGGGACCTGACGGCACCTACCCTGCTCTCACAGCTGGAAAGGAGATGTGCCAGCACTCACCACTCCATCTATGGCCATGTAGAGGAGCCTCCTGGGCCTCACGATGTTGAAGATCCTGTCGATGTACTCGAAAATCGCCACCATCATTTCATCTTCGTTTTTGGGCGCTGGCCTGAAACACAGGGCACCCAACTCAGTGACTGGAATGCTGCCACTGAGGAGACCAGCTAACTAACTGTAAAGGGACAAAGGAGTGCCTTACTTGTCCTCTGGATGCGTGCAAGGGTGGATGATGCCGTTCATGTCCAGGTAGAGGTTGTCGAACTCCACCTCGTTGGGGTTGGGCTTGCTGGTGTCGATGGGAACCTTGACTCCATTGCACTCCTTAGCCTGGGGGGGCAGTCGGGACAAAGGTTTCAGTACCAATCACCAGGAGTTGTGAATGCACAGGCTCAAAAAAGTCTTTTTTTTTTCTTTTTTTCCCCAGTGGCAGTAGAAGAGAAAGATAGCAACAAGCACCCACACGATCACTTGAAGCTGCACCTTTCACTATTAAATAGCTCTTTTTTTTAAAAAGCTGTTTGTAAACCACCACAACCAAAAAATGTTATGATCAGTTATGCCAGAGTTGTTAATTTCTGCTGAAAAGAGAAGTTTCCACATCTTGTATTATTCCAGACAGCAACTCCTTTTACTGCCAGGACCACACTGACTGCTCTGCAAGAAGAAGGAAGAGATCCTTTCAGAGCCCCCAGCCAAGACTCCACATTGGGGCTTTATATCTTTCCTCACGACCATCAGAAGCACTGAGATGCTCAGAGCCCTGAAGTCCTCAACTCCTGCCTCCAAGTTTGCCTGTGGATAGATCAAATGCTAAACAAAATCCAGAAATCCAGACATTGCCTTCGCCCCTCTACTGCTTCACCTCTTCCTGAGTTCTCTTTCTACTCCCCCAAGAATGTGGAACTCAGGTGACAGTGCAGATGGGAAATGTCATGTGAACCTCTCATCACCCTAAACCCCCCTGAGCCCCCTCTGCTCCTGGGCTGCTCCAGCACTGGATTCTTCAACCAGGTGGATCAGCGACCACGGTCAATTTTGCTTCCTCACCATAATTTTGGGTTTGTTTGTTTTGTTTGGGGTTTTGTTGTTGTTGGGTTTGTGGTTTGTTTTGGGGTTTTTTTTTGTTAGTTTGGTTAAAAGCCAATTAGCACTGATGCTCCTGCCCCTCTCCCTTCTCACTCCCTCTCCCTTTCAAGGCAACACTTCCAGTCACACACATAAGGCACCGGATTAAACCCCAATAGCATGGAAAAGACACGACCTGAGCAAGGAAAAGCCCCACAATTTCCAGAGAAACTGTGGCTGGAACATCCCACAGAGGTGGAATGAAGTGTGCTCTTGAACAGCCTGGCACAAAGCAAAATTAAAACAGGAATGGCACGTCCTGAGGCACGAACTGACTGAACTTATCCTTGTCTTAAAAGGCCAAAATGAAATCCCCTAAAGCAACATGAGTCTTCGTTTGGCATTTACATTTCTCATAGCCACAGGTGTGTGGAATTCTTTCAGGGCAAGCTGTGAAGTCATTTTTAAATAGCTGAACACTAACCCTCCCTATTTTAAAGAGGGGAAATTTCTGCTAATTCACATCTTTCTAACACTTGGGTCTTACTTGATCCCCCCCACCCTGAACGGGATTCAGGGGACATCAAAGGCTTACAACCACGGGATATGGAAAATAAACTGGCCCTGCCACAGACCCGATTTCCAGTCTCCAAGGCAAAGCACAGTAAGTGTGATCTCGTTCAGAGCCTTCAGCAGCCACTTTCCATCCTGCACAGCCCCACAAACCCAACAGGTTTGTCATGTAACAGCCTTGTAGAAGGTTTAAGTATCTGGCAGCGATATCTCTTGTGATATAAACTAAACTGTTCACTTCTAATCTACAGCCTCTTTTGAAACCATTGAAAACAGATCTTCAAACATGATACTTTAGTTGCAGCTTTATTAATTCGTATCAATTTGATTAAGAATATTCTCTCCCGGATTTTTTATTATCTTCAAGATCTTCCTCTCATTCTTCCTGCTCAGCTTAAGAAGAAGATTATTTCTTTTTCTTAAATCTGATTAATCTAGCAAGGTAAGAGAACAAGGATCAACTTTTTAATATTTCAAAGAGACAAGCTACCGGGAGATACAAAATTTCTGATTAGGGAGATTTGTAGCAATCCTAAAACACACACGGAGCTGATTACATCGTGAGAGAAGCTTAAATTCATCTACAGTAAGACAAACTACAGCTTCTCCCTGCTGTCCTGCTCTGCTCTCAGATTTATGGCCAGATTTGAATACAAAAAATGTTAATGAACACGATTTATCCGAGCGCTGTCCTGGCTGTAATTGCAACGTGCTCTTGAGTAGGAACAAGGCACTGAGAGGGAGGGAGGGACCAGCAGCTGCCACTGCAGCTACTGCAACTCTTAACTCAGCCCCACAGAATTTGTTGTGCCTTTCCATTCATCTGAACAGAAAAAACTTGGGCTGTTATGAGCTAAGTTATTAAAGATCAGCAAAAAGGACTTAATCAGAAAAAGCAGATCTGCACAAACCTTTGTTTTACCTCAACAGGAGAGCAAGCTTTGATTACACAGAGATTCAGCTAAATGTTTACCAGTGTGATGGAAAAGGTGAGTCCCCTGCCCTCAGAGAAACCCTGTACCCAACTGCTACAGGTGTATTTGCTGTCTAAATTGGGGCTGCTTTTAAATGACAGATCTTATTAAAGAGTTATCCAGAAACAGCAGGATCTCCAGCAGGCACGAACATGGCACGTGTCCATGACAGCCCCTAAAGTGAGGGATCCCCAACCCTCAGGACAGACCCCGTCAGGGATAACAACCCCCAGGAGTTTGGGACAGCAGCAGAACAACCAGTGCTGCTGTGGCAGCTCAGATCAGAGCCATGACTCACAGGAGCTCAGAATTAGGGGAAACTTTTAAGCCCCAACCCCACCCTTTTTCTAGAATAGTTCCCCAGAAAAACATCTAGATCCTAATTAGCCACCTGCTAAAAATTCACTTCTTGTAGTGAATAAACTTTACACCTCACACCCAGAGAGGCTGAAACAACAACTGCAATAAAACCACCAGAGTCACTCACAGCTTTAACCAAATCTCTGACTCTGCTTCACTGCTTGAGTCTGAAAAGCAACAACACCCCGAAAAGCACAGAACTGAACACTGAAAGCCACCTGGAAACCCGCTGCAGGCCGGGCACACGTGCAGCCCCAACACGGAATTCCTCCCTTCCCTTCTCTCCTCCACACTGCTCCCACACTTCCCAGGTGCTTCCCCAGGGCGAGGCACAGCTCTCCGGAGGAAGGAGGAGGCAGAGGAGGCTCAGCAGCAGAGACCTGAACGTCCCAAGGCAGTGTTTGGAAGGGCAGAACAGCAGCCGGCACAACCCGGACAAAGAGAATACAAAGTATCTGGAAAAGTGTACGGGAAAAGCAGCTTGGAAAGGGAGAACTCCGGGGTTTGTCTTCCTAGAACCACTCTGAGTCAGCCCTGGGGTAACACTGAAAAGCCACCACGGTGCAGCTACTCAAAGGCTGCAGAGGAAGGGAAACCCCTCCATCCTCCCTGTCCCCTCCCACCTCCTCCCACGACATTCCCGAGGCCGCAGGGATGTGCCCTAAGCAACCAGCCCGATAAAAACATGCGAACAGACATCATTCCAGCTGCCTTACTGCCCTGAAAGGCACCTGCGGGACCCAGCAGCAAGGCTGGGGCTGTGCCTTCGCCAAAACCACCTCCTGCTGCCACGGAAAGCCAGGTTTTACGGCGTGCCTTTGGAAAAATCAGCTCCGTGCTGGGGCAGGAGGGGTTTCTCCTGCACAGGGAAAACACCAGCAATGAGACAGAAGCTCCGGAGGCTGCTCGATGTTACAGAGCACAAGCACAGACTTGTTCTGAGTCCTGGATGCAGCGTGATGTCCTGGGTTCGTGGGGGGTATTCCCAAAACAAAGCGCCGGGGTAAAGCAGGAAGCTGCAGAACAACTAAGACGTGAAATAAAAGACTGATAAAATAATGAGTAAGACCTGGAAATGAGCCAGCTGTGAGTTATTCGGGAGGCTGAGAGCCCCGGGAACCAGACTGCCATGTGCACAGTGGGGATCTCTGATCTCCCACCAACCCCCTGCAGCTCCAAGGGACAGCCCAGTTTCTTCTCCAGCGTCCCATTCCCGCCCTCCCTCGTGTTCTGGCATCCCACATCCCCAGCAGGACCCTGGCACTCATGTTCCTGCAAACAGGGAGGTCTCGGGGAAACCGAGACGCTCCCAGACCCTCAAACTGTTTTTAACCATTTCCGCTGCGTTTCCTCCCTCTTCCCAAGACAGGCAGCTGCACTTGCGCTTCCAGCAAGCCCCGGAGCTCGCTGCAGCTCCCAATTCCCAGAAGAAAAACCAAAAAAGCCGTGGAAAGCAGGAAGTAGGAACAACACGCAAGAAACGGCAAACAGCACCGCCACTGCTCCCCGCTCAACCCAAAACACTGTCACAAATCCTACTTTTCCTGCCCGGGGCTGCACAGAGGCAGAAGGGTTGGGATCCCAGGGAAGGGGCCGGGATCCCAGGAAACGGGCCGGAGACCGGGAAATCGTGGGAAAAACCCGATTCCCTGCCCGTCCATCCCCGCTGTCCCGCGCTGCCCGGTCCCGCCGCTCCATGTGCCCGGTGCCCCACGTGGAGCGAACCCGAGGCGGCCCTCGGTGCCTCCCCCCCGCGCCGGGGCCGCTTCCACCGGCACCGAGAGCCCCCCCACCCCAAACAACCCCCCGCCCCAAACCACACGCCACAAACTCCCCGAACCGAACCGGAACCGCCGAACTTCCCCCCAAAAGAAACAAACAAATAAAACCGAACAAACGTAAACAAGCGGCGCCGGGGGGGGGGGGAAGGCGGCTCAGCGCTGCGGCCCAGCCGGCCCCGCGGAGCGCCGGCGATCCCGCGGCGGGGCGGGGCGGTTCTCACCTTCTCCTCGACGCAGTTGACGATGATGGAGGGGTACTTGCGGCTGAGCCAGCGGAAGAAGGCCGGGACCCCCATGGCGGGGCCGGGAGCGGGGCCGGGGCCGGGACGGGGACCGGCGGCTCCGCCGGCGCTTCCGGGGTCGGGGGGCGCGCGGGGCACGCCGGGAAAGGGGGCGGGGCCGCGCCGCCGCCATCTTGGGCGCGGGCTGAGGGCAGCGCCATGGCGGCTGGAGGGACGCGCTGCCCCGCGGCCCTAAACGGGCAGTTTATCAGGAAAAAACACCCTCCGTCAGCTCCTTGCTGATCAAAGCCAAGCGCGGGCTGCCACCCTGGGGTGGTTCGGGCGGCGGGGTCGCCCCACGAGCCGGTAATGACGCGCGGCGGAGGCAGCGGTGATTTATTTCGGCGCCGCCCGGCCCTGGGCGCGTTCCACAAATGCGCCGTTGTTTACACACAGAAAGCCGGAGTCGGTAACTTCCCAAGCACAGCCCCTCTACTAGGATCGATCAGTGAATTTCATGCAGGTTACACGAGTTAACATCAACTTCCCTGCGTCCTCGGGGGAAGGGTTTTCACCTGCGCAGGGTCTTTTTGGACCTGTAGGCGTGATTTTTAGTGTTACAGTGAACATAGTTCAGCTGTAGGATACGCAGACCTTGAGGATTTCGCCAAGTTAATAATTTATACATAGGCAGGCGTTAACATCTTGATTTACTGTATCCTTAGTTCCTGGATGCCCTTGGCTAAGGGATGCAGCTGCTGCCTGTCCCACTGTCCGGGTCTCCTTTCTTGCTCATTAGGCTTGAAACTACACAAACATCAAACAACACAGAACATCCCGACTTAAGATAATCTTGACATATTCCACGTTTTGCAACACCAAAAGCGATTCGGGGCACGGCCTCTCTGTCCCCTCTGCAGGGGACGTTTCCAGAGGCAGCCGGTGTGAAACGGCTCCATGTGATCCACGAGGCAAAGAGCCCCCATCCCCTCGCTCTGCCCGTGGCATAAGCAAATACCATTAATTTGTGGCTGTTCGACGGCGCCGGAATGGAATTAAACATCGGGGTATTAAACGGGATTAACACGAGGCAGGTTTTGCGCTCCGCCGTATCCCGTCGCCGCCCCGCAGCTCCGTCAGGAGGGCAGGGACGGGGGCGAGGACAGGGAAAAGCAGCCCGGGAATCATTAACAAAAATAACAAAACCTCGGCGGTGCTTGTCGAGTCAATGCCGCCAATTTGGGGAGCGGAGGGGAACCTTGGTACTGGGCTAATTCTCTGTAGAACAAATTAACCCAATATTGTGTCTCTCATTATTCTTATCCTCACTTGGCTGTTGTTAAGCCGTTTTCTGTTGTCTGTTCCTCTCAATAAAAATCTGTGACTTGAATAAATTTCCCCCGGCAACTTTGTAGTGGCACCACACCTGTGGTATCAGCTAAAGATTGTCCTTTATCTGTTCCTCACAAATCTGTTCCTATTGTAGTGCTTCTCCTCCTGGAATTTCGTCAGCTTAGCATTAACACTTGGTTTGTATTGATGGGCAATCAGTTGTTTTTCTGATAATGCCAAAGAAAAAACAGAAGGCTGGCGGGACGCAAATGAAACGCGATCGTCTTATCTTATAATTACTTGGGTAAACAAGCGCTGGAATAATTAATGCTGCAACAAACAACTCCTTGAAAAGTTGGTCTCAGCACCAGCAGCCACACCGGGGGCACGAGCCCGGGTCCCACCTCCGAACTGCGCGTCCACGAGAAGCGCTCGGAGCGCCGTGTCACCGCGAGCGGGAGCAGGGAAGGCTTCCCATTAGGGTATTTTCCAGGGATGAGTGGCGTGCCGATGGAAATCTGCCCGGGGCTGTATTGATTCCAGTCCCCCCCCCCCCGTCCGTCACCGTCACCTGCCATCATCCCCGGCTGCGGCGTGACAGCCGTGAAGGAGCGGAGCAAAGTTTGACTGGCAGGGTGTTTTGCATCTAATGAGCCCGCGCACAATAAGAGCATCACAAACGCTGCTGCTGCTGCTGCTGCTGCTGCGGGGGAACTCGGCTGTCTCGGCTCCGACACCGAGAGGCAGAGATTGCTCCCGCAGCCATCCGTCACCTGTCACGGGCCACACGGCGGGGGCTGAGGGATGGAAACCCCACAGGCTGGTGTCACGCCAGCAGATATACAGCGGGCTGACATCAACAGCCGGGGATCGCTCGGGAAGAGCTTAAAGCTGCATGGATCCGAGGCAACATCACACGGCAGCACGGGCTGCTGGAGAGACTTTTCCAGCTGAACCTTGGGCTGACAGGGCCTGGGACATCCCGTACCCACGGCCTGTCTGTGCTGGGATACTGGGGAGCTCACGTCTGCAGATGGGTAGGACCATCCAGAGTGAGTTACCAGGAATTAGGGATGATGAGGAAAAGGCAGCGAGGGGTGATGGCACCCCGGCCCTCGTGTGCTGGGTTCAGACACGATTCAGCTCTCCCAGGCGACGCTGCAGTGCACAAGGAAAAACCTCATCCGGACTCACCTGGCTCCATTCCCAATTCCCAGAACATTCCAGGCTGCACCCTCACCAATGCTGGACTGTAACCCACAGCAGCCAGCTGCACCAAGGGTTTCTGCTCACTTCCAAGCCTTCTGTGAGCCATTATTTCAAACTGTTGAGCTCTCACCCTATGTGTTTTTATTAAATTCAATGTTGTTACCATTTTTAAGTTGTTTTTGAGGGACAGGGTGTGGAGATTGGTGGCTGTGGCAGATGCAGCACAGTTTAATTGGGGTGCTGGTTTCTGCTTTTGAACTTGTCATCATGATGAACAGCTTTTTTTTTTTAATATGTCCCCTGGTTTCTCCCTTCGAAAGAAAAATCTCATGTTTAACGAACTTAATTTTAGATAAAAGGAATGAAAAGAAGGAAATTAAAAATGCATGAAGCTCCTAGAGTCATCCAATTACTGTGATGTCCACACAGCAGCACCAGCACGGATTTCACAAAGCAGGGGAAAAGCAGGAAAGCACTGGGGCTCTACACATGTAAATGCTGCTCTGTTCCAAAATGTGCTGAATTACAAACGGGCATTTTATGCATTTCTTCTTCTTGATCTGTTGCAGAAGGAGATAAAGATCAAACAAGCCAGCCCGCCCCAGCAGCGCCTGTCTGCGCACCCACAGTGCTCGTCTGCTGCTTTCCAAACCACTGTCTAGCTCTGGAGTCCAAACAGTGGAATGCAGGCAAGCCTCAGGAGGGGGCTCTCAGGGGGCAGGGTTACTGCCAGAGCAGGTCAGAGAGAGCACACGTACAGCGTGTGGGACCCGTGATGTTTTATTTGGTATTTACATTTCCTTTGCCCCGTAAAGTGACGAGCAGCCCTTCAGCCCACAGCACGCTCACTGTGAGCGTGAGTGGGCTCCGAAACAACGCTTCTGCTTCTCCCCCCAGGAGCCAGCAGGGCAGCTCAAGCATAGAAGTCATCGAAGTCGTCCGACTGGGCGCTGTGGGTCTGCGGGCGCAGGGCGGCCTCGAGCTCAGAGCTGCTCTCGTCGGATTCGCCCCAGAACGCTGCAGGGGAGGACACAGAAACCACAGCAGTAAAACCCTTTCCACGAGGATGCCCTCTGTCACAGGCAGCTCTCCCCAGGCCCCGTGGCTGATGGAGGAGGAGCAGTCTGAAGCCCCCAGCCCGGGCTGTGTGTCCGGCCCTGGAGCGGCTGTGCCCGGACAGCGGCTTCATTCAGCACTGCACTCCCACTCCATTGTGCCTCAAGGTAGCTTGGGCAGAACATTTCCACTCCAACCAATTTACTTGACCAGCTGCTGCCTGAATTGCAGCTTTGTCTATTCTCTTCCCCTTTCCCCCGCTGCTACTTGACCCCGCGGTGAAGTCACCAGCGGGCCATGACATCACAGAGCTGGCACAGACACGGCGGTGACGTCACAGGAGAAAAATCACCACTCGGAGATCAGATCAGACCCGGGCAGCCCTGACCTCCACAGAAGACATGGCCTTAATTCCCACAGCTCTGGGAATTGGCAAACCCTTTCCCCGACACCAACAGAACCCCCCCGCAATTCAGAGCGCCCGAGAGATTTCTCAACGTGTAAATTCATTTGACCCGGGGATAAAACACAGTGGGGAAGTGTGGCATGTGAAGTCAAGGCTGCAGTGACTGACAGAGCTGCGCTCTCTGTTCCCAACCATTCCAGAGGCTGCTGGCTCTCCAAAGGCAGTGTGGAATGAGGCCCGGGGATGGAGGCGGCGGAGGGAGGAAGGCTGTCACACTCACACACACACACTGCAGCTTGTGTCTGAGGCCCTGCTAAGGCCTCTGACAGCACCAGCTCCACGAACACCTTATCTACAAATGCAGCAGCTGCATCTTTCATCCTCCATCCCGGCCCCCCGGGCCGCAGGGCTGTGCTCCGCCGGGAACATCAGAGCAAGCCCCGCACTCGCTCCCACACGGAACAGCTCCAGGAACGGGGCTGGGGATGTGAGAGCCTTTCAAGTGGCACCAAAGCACCCACTGCTGATGGCATCCGTACCTCGGTGCAGTGCCACGCCTCCAGGACTGTGCCATTCCAGGCTGCCAAGCACCTGGAGCGGGGCTCCAGGCAAAGAGCTCCCAGCGCTGCCTCGCTGGCAGGAGGCTCCCTTAGAGGGCCTTGGGGTGGGTAAAAGGGAGAACTGGAATGTTGGGCAGCGAAAACATACAGGGTCCACACACCAATTCAGAACAAAACCATCCAGCTGCACCCATGTCCTGCTGTGGCCCTCGGGAAAACCAAGGAAACCTCAGGGTTTGTCCTTCTCTGGGTTTCCTCCACTCGCAGTTCACGGTCATTTGACTAAACCCTGCAAAGATCTCGACTCCTTCCACACCACCTGCGCCACAAACACCTCCTCTCTGTCCCAGAATTTGTTCTCCTCAGCTTCCTGCTGGCTCCTGCGTTGAGACAGGGCAATTCCACACTTTCCTGTCTCCATGCTTTATACAGGTCATAACGTAGTTGTGGGAGGGCTTTTGCAGTATAAATTACACCAGACACTGATTTTCAGTGGTGTAACACTTGTCCCTTACCTTTGGATTTTATGGCAGTTACTTTCTCCTTCTGCGCCTCGGTCCTGTAAAAGATTTCAAATAATCAGCACAATGTCACAGATTAAAAGTGGCTTTTTAAAAAATACTGTGAGATGGTTTTTTTAAAAAAATCAGTAACTTTTGTAACTACTTTTTTTTTTTTTTAAATAACTATTTTATGAAGAGTTTCTTCACCTAAAAAGTGGAGAAATCCACATGCAGTGGGAACACTGCTCCAGTTGTTCCCGGAGTCATTCCCAGGTAACGGCGCTGATCCACACCAGCACTGAATCCAGGTACAAAGGAGCAGGGCCCTGTTGAGCTTTTGCAGCCTTCCAGAGCACATAAAGTAAGTAAAGCCAAAATCCAAACAAAAATAAAAGCACCCCAGTGATGCTCCTGCACTTCCTTCCTTCCTTCCCTTCCTCCCCGTGTGATTCCCGATTCCCGGCCCCATGGAAATGTGCAATCTCTGCTGCCTTTGATCCACCTTGATGTGTGTGCAGCCCGAGCCTGCTCTGGTAAATGGCTGCTCTTGTGTCTGGAGCATCACAGGCCCTTTTGAATCTCTCAAACAAGCTGGAATCATTTTGATCTTTTGTGTGCAGCGCGTGCATTGTGTCGGGGCTGCGGAATAATCACACGGGGGGCAACGATGGGGGAGAATTAACTGTTACAGCAACGGCCCTGCAAGGAGCCCTAAAAATAAACCTTCAGCTGATTTTAATAAGGGAGATCAAATAGGAGTTATTTGGGCCATCGCTGGGCCAACCAGTGAAATATAAGCCAATGTCAAGGTGCAGCTGGAAGCTGTGGGCACAGCCATAACAGGACTCAGTCAGCCCTCTGAAATGTCCTGTCATTTGCTGTGGTTTATGGAAAAACCTGGCAGCCAATACAGAAGTCCTTAAAGTGGGGGGTTAAAAACATTTCAACGTTGTGGAGGCATCTGTGAAGGAGACAAAAAAAAAAGCAGGGATGATTCCTTGCTTGTGTTGCTCCCTGGTAGTCAGAATTTGGGATTGCAGCTGGAAAGCCACAGGTAAAGCAGGGACTTTCATGCATTGCAGCTACCAGGGTGCAGCCACTCTTCCTTTTAACCCAGAGAAAGCTCACACTGTTCAAATGCCATTCCTTCTCCTCAGGCTGTGAATGCCATTGGCACACAGGCTCCCTCTTTGTGGAGGGACATTCCCAGAACATTGAACCCAGCCCAGGTTCCACCAAGATACCCAATACCAAGTGACAGCACCAGTGAAGTGCTCACAGTGATACCACTAATTATGAATGTATTCAGCAAGAAACTATAAAATGTCAGGCTCCAAATGTTTCTCCAACGTTCCCCGAGTGCACCATCCCGATGCCTTTCCCTTTCATTCCAAGCCAAACCCCACAACTGCCTCACACCCCAACTTCTCCTTCAAAGGCGTTCCCTCAACAGAATTCCCAGTGAGCATTTGAAGTCTCTGGAATACACTGAACACCCCAAACTCTTGCTCCCTTGGGTGAGATCTCCCGACCCTCAGCATTCCCCGGGAGGTGCTCCATGTGCTGAAGAGGCTGTGGAGCAAAAAGCCACTTGTTGCAGAGCTCCAGCTGGGGAGGTGCCTCTTGGGGCAGCCGGCACGGGAACCATTTCAGCTCCCAGTGGCTGAGCAGGAGCTCAGGCAGCAGCAGCAGCCCCTGCTTCCCCTCTGGCCACACTGCTGGGAAGGGAGCAGGGAGGTTCTGTTATTCAGCCACGCCAGGAGGTCCCCAGGAGGGACTTTTTGTCCCACTTCTCTCCACGCTCCGATCCTAGAACAAACACCGGTGGGTCAGTGACTTGGGCCCAACACCGACACCCTGCCAAGGACCACCCAGGGATGCAGGATTTGGTCCTCCAGGCACGGCCAAAGGCTGGTGGTCTCGTGGAGAAGGACCACCGTGGCTGTAGGAAGGTCTGGAGACCTTCCCGCTGCCAAGCCAGCTTCCCACAAAGGGAAGGACAGGGGAGGGGGGAGACAGGTGTTGGTGTCCTACCGAGCCAGGACCTCGGAGCGGCCAGGTGGGAAATGGCAGCTCCCCCAAACTGAGCCTGGAAAACGCTGCCAGGGGCTGGGTAACAGGGAATAAACCCTGGAATTAGGGCTGGAGCGCCGGGTGAAGCCGGTGAGATGCAGCTGGGGCGAGCAGGGAGCACACAATGACCACGGACCCCGCCGGGAACGTCCGAGGTGCAAACGCAGCAAGGCCCCTTCCACTGCCCCGACTAATCCCCCTGGCTGACCCTCCCAGAGCCACTCACACACTGGCTTCTCCCCTAAAATAATTCCAAACTCAACCCGGGCCCCAACAAAGAAAAAACCCAAACCAGTTTCACTTCAAAGGGCCTTTTAATCTCTCCATTTCTCTGATGAAACGGGCTTTTTTTTTTTACTGAAGATGCTGCAACAGTAAGAAATTAAAAAGCTCCAAGAAAATATCGTTTCCTCCATACGGAAAAGAGAGATGTTAATTGAGGGGGCTTGCTGGAAAACAGCAGAAAATTTTTACTTTGACCTGATTACCTTTTTGCTAAAGCACCTGTTGAACCTCTGTTTTTTTAGTGTCAAGTGAAAAAGACACCAAAAAAATGTGGGAAATCCCCAATGCCAAGAGATTTCCCCGCCCCGGAAAGCCAAATATATACAAATATATACAGTACTACAAACGTTTACAGAGTCAGTATAGACTCAAAAGTCCATTCATCACACCGGAATTGGAGTAATAACATTGAATTTCAGTAATTACCCTGTAAGTAGCATGACCTTTGTTTTAGGACACAGAGATTTCTGTGGAGCTGTGCCTAAGACGGTTCTCTGTTTAGATCCACCAGGCTGAGACAGAAAACCCCACTAACACAAAGACACATCACAGGGCTGTGAGGGAGTTGTGGAGGAGAGCAGGGGCACTGCCAAAAAACTCACTATTCCTTCTGTCCTCAGCGGGCAGATGTTGGTGCCTCTCCCCACAAACCTGGCAGGGCGCTGCCTCTGCAACAGCTGGGTGTGCAGGGGAAGGAGACAAAGCTCACAGAAACAGCTGTAACAGCTGGAAAATCGTGCTGGAATTCTCAGTCAGCTTCTCACGGAAGCCATTTGACAACAGAGTGTGTCCGGGGGGGATGAAACAATCAGATCCTGGCTGGATTCTGGGTGCACCTCTCAGGAATCCAGACCCACACAGTGCCACTTTCTCTGTATTTCCAGGAGAAATGCATTTGTGCATCTCCTGAGCGCTCCCGGCCCCAAACCTCTGGGAACTCTCCCCGAAGAAGAGCAGAGATTTCCGAGTCAGGATTGGTTTGGGCAGGGGGGAGGATGCACAGAGCCCGAGTGCCCCCCGATGGCCAAAGCCAACGGGGCCACGTTAAACATCGCCCAGAGAGTAATTAAGAGATGAATTAAGACTCTGCCAATTTCTATTAGCATGTCACTACATCTGCGTTGGGTAAAACGGCTCCTTTCGGCTAAAAAACAGCCTTCAGAGACCCCCCCGGAGTCCTTGAGCAGATTAATCAAAGTTCACAGCACTTTACACCGTGTTGGTGTCCCGGCAAATCCAAACCCCGCTTTTGGTTCTCGGCCGACAACGCATCTTTAATCTCCAGATTATTCTGAAACGAGACAGCAGCCCGAAAACGAGCCGAAGGAAAATAAAAACCGCTCGCCTCCGAAATGGGGGAATTCCCAGAAAACGAGTGACCTCCACTGGCCGCATCCATCGCTACAGCCCCCCGGGATGCCACACACATCGCCGGCCGCCCGGCAGCGGCTCGGCCCTGACTTCTGATGCCTTCTCCCCCAAGGACCCGCGGGGTTTGACGCCTCTCCCCCGCTGCCAACTCCGCCGACCGAAGGTGCATCTCCGTGCGGGGAAACATCCCCCCGGGAAAGCGAAGGAGGCCAGGGACGAGAGCGGCTCCCTCGCCGGAGGTAGAGCCGGCGGGAGGAGAGGAAGCTCTGGCATGCACCGCCGAACAAAAGGGAACAAGTGGTCTTTACTCGGAGAGCAGTTTCCTATTAAGGCTCACTCCGTCGTACATTATGCCTTTCATCCCCACTCAACCACAAAATGATTTTGCTGTAGGAAATACAATGGCAGAAAAAGATTTACATTGAAAGAATCTTTAATAATAAACTGTTGCAGATCTGCCTACTTCCCCATGATTTATAATACAATAAACATCGGATTCTATTAAGTCTCATGCACTGAAGACACGCACTGAAAACCCGAGTATGAAAGCCCTCAATTCTTCCCTTCTCCAGGCCCATAATAGTGAAACGAGCATGGATAAATGTGCTAAGAGTATCTCTTTGCATCTTTTATAGCTTGTGTGTATCAATCTGTAAAGCTTATTAAGAAAGTCATTGCTATGCAAAGCAGCACCCAATGTCTTTCTCTTGCTTTTCAACAGCGCGCAGTGTTTAGCCAATAGGGCCGGGCCCCGGCCCCTCATTCCGCATTCATAACATGCAACATTTGCACAATGTGTATCTCAAAGGCTGCTGAATAGAAAGCCTTAATACTCATGTAAACAACTGCAAACCAATTACTTAATGAATCAGGCCCACACATAATGAGGTGCCAGACAAAGAGCTATAAATGCATTTTTTGCGCCCGAGCCTCCTGCTTTAAAGTAAAATCCCTCAGCTGTAGTTTGGGCTTAACTGGCACATGATAATTATTGTCTGGGGGACATCAGAGGAGCCACGGTTTTTATTCGGGTCCGGCGGGGTCTGCGCCGGGGTCACTCATCAGCTCAGTGACAAAACGCGGCAAAGGAGAATTTATAAAGTGCCACGGCCGAGCTCGCAGGGATGTTTATTCTCAAGTAGTGGGTTTGAGACCACTTGTGAAAGCAATAAAGCCCGAGGAGTGGCTGCAGGGGAGCCCAGGAATCGGCCTGGCTGCAAACATCTCTCCCTCTTCCTCCCTCCTTTGGCCGCCCTGGAGCCGGGGCTGGGCGTCCAAAGGCAAGGAAGGGGCTGTTCCCAAACCCCGGGCTGGGAAGGCTGCGCTGGCTTTGAGTCATTTACAAAAGCCAACTCTAAGCCACTGTAAGAGATTTATTATATTTATTAATTTTTTATATATTTATTATATTTTTTTCAAGGCAGCATCATCGTATCGGTGCACGAGGCGTGTGCTGCTGCCGAGCACCGAAAGGCCTGAAATTATAGATTTGAAATCTACCACAAATAGGAATTAGGAGGGGAAAAAAAAATGCAAAGAAAATGAACAGCATCTGATCGAGTCAGACGTGGCTGGAGGCACCACCAGCCAGCAGTGGGGATAACGCTTGGAGAGGATTTTTTTTTTAAATAAGAAATATTTCATTTTAAATCACGCATTTTATTCAGATTCAGTGATCTTCTAAGCAAGTTCTCGGGGCCTGATCCTGCTCCTCCTGCTGTTCCAGGCTTTCAGGGAAGGGCTAACATCTAACACTTCAAAAACTCAGCCATAGGAGCACCCTTGCACTTCGTAGCACGAGGTAGGATGATTTGGAACACCATTCTCACAGTCCCCAAAAAAAAAATCTAAAAAAGGAGAAAAAACCTGAATCTGAGATGGTAAGAACTAATACCACACAAAAGCAGGAACGCCATTCACTGATACTTGGTCACAGCCTGTATTTACTGGGCTTGAATTCTAGAAACAGTCATCCTAACACCAAGTGCAGAACTGGAACTGGCCTCACCCACAGCAACCTAAAAACACCCTCCAGGAAGCTCCGTGTCACGGGCATGGGAGGAATTCATAACCTGCCTCAAGGCCCTGCAGTCTCTCCCCCAGTGTCACCACCGGTGGTTTTCCAGCTGGAGCCACAGCACCCACGTGCTGGGCTGCTCCAACAGGGGCAGGGAAGGACCAAAAGCCTGGCCAGCATTCCTGGAGCCGGCTGCATTATCCCCATTTTCTGCTGCCCCTCTCCTGATCCTCCCCGTCCTGACACCAAAAGCAGCTGGACACACTCGGCTGGGGTTCACTGGAGTGTCAGCTGAGCCTTAAACAAGGAACAGCAGCTGCCAGGCCACACCTGGCTTTGGCACAGACAGTTCCTGAGGTGTTCAAACCCTCCGTGTTCTGTTACACGAACAGAAACACAAACTTCAACCCAGGTTCAAGTGAAAAAAACCCCAAACAATAAAAAAAGAATCACGGGAGCTTTGGTGGTTTCCTGTCAGTGTTTCTCGTGCTGTGGAAGCATTTCCAACGTTACAGATCCAGTGCCTTTACCTGGAGAAGGGAAGGACTATTCCATCCGACGAAGAGCTGGATTCCAGAGGCGCCTCCCGGCTGTCACTGGCTTTGGAACTGTCCTCGCCCGTATCCCGACCTGGGCAGGAAAAACGGGAGCTGTGAACACCCCAATCCCAACAGCTGGATTCCCACCACAGCTCCAGTTTTCCAAGGTGTGAGCAGAGCAGCAGCAATGGCAGCTGCCTCCAGAGGGTCTGCTCCTGGAAATCAGCTCAAACCAGGGAAGCAGCACTCCCTCCCCAGCAATTAGGCCACGATGGGGATTTCTTCCAAACTGGGAAAGTTTCACACACCTTTTGCCTCGTTTCAGAGAAAGGAGCAAGCACAGAGCTTCTCTTCAGAACTGTTTTGGACCACGGCAGCTCTAAGCAAAACTTAAAGGATTTCTGGAGTATTTTTACTTTTTTTTTTTTTTTTTAATCCCCAAGTTCCCATTTACTTTAATCAGAAGCAAGGTTATTTCTTTTCTCCTTCCCCTTAAATGCAGATTATTTTGAAATGTTGCAGTTCTTTCAATATTATTTGATGTCTCAGTGTTTTCATCCATTCTCTTGAATTAGACAAATTATTAGACAATAATAAATAAATAAATTCAATAAAAATCGGATTAGACACATCTTGGGATTTTTATGACTTAAAGGGCAAACCAAACAACTATTTCAAAGCCTTTGATCCACACTTTCCTTTCTTCCCTTTCCCCCCCTGCTCTGTGGATCTCGTTTCCATTCTGTAAAGATTTTATTTAAAATAAAAAGGCAGAAGCAAACGGATTCATTCACTGGAGTCAGACAATTGCTCATCTTTATATTTGTTTCCAAAGCACACGAGATGCTCAAGCACAGATCCCACTTTAAAAAGGCTAACTTGGCACATCTGACCCTGTCTGCCTGGAAGTGGGAAAGGTAGATCTCCAGGTTGCTGGTTTTCCTGGGAATACAGCTGTTCTTATAAATGTTCTCATAACCAATCCTCCACAGTACAATGCCTCCCTCCCACCAGGAGACTCTGGGCTGCCCAGTGGACTCGGGCAATCCAGTGAGGATGCCTTTAGAAGCTGCTGCCTCTGCTTAAGGATGGAAGGGTTTTCACCCAGAACTCACAACTCTAAAAAGCCTCTGGGGTCTTTCAGGAACCTCAGTGTCCAACACCCCCTCCTGGAGGGCGTCACCCAGCCTGATTTAAGCCCAAACATCCAGCCTGGCTCTGCCCCAGGGCAGCTCTGCCAGCCCCAGCAGCCACGGGAGGAACTCCCTCCATCACAGCAGTAGCAAAGGGAAGATATCAAACGATAGGGAAAAGTTGGGTGAGACTTATTAATGCCTTTATTAGTGCACTCCAAGAGGAGCCCGGGAACCTTTGAGCCTCCAGCTCAAAGGAGGAGCCCCCCGGGAAGGAGGGGTGGGCGTGGGCAGAGCGCTGGCAGGATTATTGGCTCATTAAAGGTGGCCTGGAAAGGGAAGCAGGACGGGGTTGGTGCTCTTTCATGTTCCCTCAGGGTATATAAAGAAGGGCTAATTTTTTTCTTCTTCAGAGGGCTTTTCCTCCTTGTTCCTGTATTGGCTATTTTACACCTGGAGAGGAGCTGGAAGGTGACACACGGGCCGTTGTGGAAGCAAAGCCCAATGAGTGGAGCAGTTACACCATTTTTATTCAAATCCTGCACAGCCTTAATGTCTGTTCAAATCAGAGACACAAATGAAGGGGGGAGAGAGAGAGAGAGAGAGAGAATCTGGTTTTGTTAAAGATTTAACAAGCCTGCCCCTTCAATAAAATCAGCAATTTCCTACTCATAAATGAGGCTCTTAAGCAGCCATCCAGCAAAACAAGAAATAATGGATTTTATCCTTTTTAATCTCACATCATTCACCTACCTCAGGAACAGCCAAAGAGCTGAACAATTTCTTTTTGCGCGTCTTCCCTGATAAAAAACAAAGGATCCTCGGAGGAGATGAGAAGGAGCCCAGATATCCCCCCGTATCCTCACATAACCTGCTATCAAAGGAGATGGCTGTTATCAGCCAGCTCCTCTCTGGGCGAGACCGTGCACCAGATATGATCCCTTTAAAGCCAATTATCCCTGCACAGCCTTCCAGGGGCTCCGGACAGGGCTCTAGGAACAAACCCACTAAAGCCCTTCCCCTACAGCCACCTCCTTCCTCCCCCGCGGGCATTAAAGAGCCAACACAAATACTTCGGGAATATTGGCAGAATATTAAAGTAAATAAATATTTTGGTTCTCTTTTTATGTAACAGAAACACTAGAGAAATAAACCAAGAGCCCAGAAGCATTCCTGAAGTGCCATCCCTAAAGACCGCTCGGGAGTGCATCCACACAGCAAAGTCCATCAAACCCCAAAGCCTCAAAAGGCTTCTGGTGTTTCAAACCAAAGCTTCAAGAACTCAGCAAATACTGGAAAAAAAACAAACCACCCCAAAATTTGTATCCATTAAGCACAGAAAAAGTCACACAGCAAAATAATCTTATATGGATGGACATCAAGTATCAGTTCAACTAAAACCCCGGAATGAGCCGTTCGAGCCCAAAAGCCACCGCGCAGAGACGCCGCTTCTATTTTAGGCACAGGAAAACTTCAGAGCTCTGGGGCCACAGCAAATAACGATAATAAAAAGGAAAAGAGCAGCTGGCTGGCAGGGAGGAGAGGAGCGGGAGCACAACAAGGAGCCTGGAGAAGATCATGGGCTGAAGATGAATCGTGTCTGAAAGGAGCAACTTGGCTTTCAAGTGAGGGGTGAGAAGCCTCGTTCCCGGGGACAACGTGGCTGCAGAACAGCCAGTGCAGCACCCTCGGAAGGGATGGATTTAAACTGCAGTTACTGGGTCTGGTTAAGGAGTTTATTGCCATTTTTACACACAGGAAGCATCTGTGTTTGCCTGCCTGTCCTGTGAGAGAGTCGGGAAGGGGGATGATCACTAGGATGTGATTGCCTGACTGACATGGAACAGCCCCCCGGGGGCCCTGGCAGGAAAACCTGCAATGGAGGATTCCCTGACACACTCACAGGCAAAACAGTGGCTAAAGCCAGGACTGGCAAGTCATAAAGCTCAGGGTGGGGAGAAGCAAACCAAACCCCTTGGCAGCTACAGAGATCCAAAGCTGGGAGCCGGAATCCTCCCTGGGAATATCAGCGCTGGCACTGGCTGGAGGGAGCCCTAGCAAGGGCTGCAGGAGCAGCTGAGGACACGCCTGCACCAGCACCTTGGTGGCCAAACACCACAGCATGAGGGAGCTGGGCAGAGGGACAGAGCAGGGTAAAGCCTCATTGCCCAAAATTTGTGCTCTCGGGCAGTTTTGGCACAGGAGGCACAGCCACGGCTCCTGGCTGGCACAGGCACAGCTCCCACCAGCAGGGCTCTGCCCCACGCCTGTTCTAACGACCCACAGCCAATTCCTCGAGGAGAGAACCAAACCAGGGACACCTGTGGTTTGCCTAATAATTACTGGATCTTCCCCATGGAGACTGACCCCGTAACACCCATCCCGGCCCCGAAGGGCTCGATGGCCGGATACCCACACGGTCTGAGTGTGCAACAGGACTGCAAGGAATCAAACAGGCCCTGTTTCTCTCCACACCTTGGTTTGTGCCAACATGAGCTGGACTTTCTGATCTGATAGTTCATCCTTGTGATCCGTGTGCATCAGCTGAATGTACCCCCTGTGAGTGGCCCCAAACCACCACGGTCTGACTGGGTAATCAAGCTGGATGCTGGGCTTGATTGGATGCAGCCACCCCTTCCACCTGTAACAGGAACCTTTTCCACTGTGCTCTCTTCCTCACTCTCATCTTCACACAGAGCTTGTGAACTCCTGGATGTGAAATGAAACCCTTTCAAAGCGGCGCCGATCAGACTCTTTGCTTTTAAGCCCCTGCTCCCTTTAATTTCTCACTTTCGTTATCTCTCCTTTATTGATCTAAACTACCCATCACTGCTCTTAAAAGCAGCGCCCACTGGGAACTTGCCTCGTGCCACAGCCTCTCTGTAGCTTCCCCCAGACAAGGCCGAGCCAACCAAACATCCTAAAGAACTGGATACCCGACGGGATTTGGGAAACAAATCCCATTCCTTCCTTAGCTACAGAAATTAACTGGATTCCCAGACACCTTCACCTCCTGAGCTGGGAAATAGCCCCCCATACTTCCCCCACCATGAACCCTTCTGTTTTTGGTAAGTCCTTCTGCAGTCTGGCTGAGTAACAAAAGGCAGCAAATACATCCTCCAGTTTCTAAACAGGAGATGCCTTGTAAACATGTGCACATGTTTTATAGGGCACAGGGCTTGGCTTTTTAACTCCTGAAGAAAGTCCCACCACCCCAGGTATCACTAATTTTGGGAAGTAACCAGAATGACAAGCGATACCGAGATATTTAGGAAAATCCCCCAAATCTATTACAAATCCACACTGATTTGCCAGTGGCTGTGGCACAGCCCCCCGTGGATTTGGGCAGAGCACACCCGTGTCCAGAGCAGGAAGCTGGGGACGGGGCCAGCCCTGTGCCACCCCTTACCTGGCTCTGCTGTGCCGGTGAGCCGGGACACGCATCCCGCCTGCTCCCCTTCCCCGCCGTCTGTCGGGATCGATGGCAGACTGCAGGATGACTCCTCACCCTGGACAGGTGACCCATCCCTGTGCTCTCCTGGAAGGGCCTCTCTCAGCACCGGCAGAGCCTGCAGCATTAAAAACAAGAACAGCCACAGCCCGTTATTTCTCCACCTGGAGCGCTTCCTGACGCACCTTCAGGCTGATCTGTGCTTCCCAGGGAAATCTGCTTCCAGCGTGTTTCTGTTAGGTGTTAAATTCCCCTACTTGCAGGGTGTTCCTCTGGCCTTTGTTTTGGGACACAAAACATGGACTTGAGCCTGTGAAATCTACTCGATGTTTTGCTCCAGCTCAGCGTTCAGTAAACAGCCGTTTAACAACACAGCGAGCCTCGGGTGCTGAGGAGGAACCTCAAATCAAAACGTTTTGGATTCAGGAGAAGATTTTATTGTCCTGCCTCTGCTCCCTCCTCATTGATCAGACAGTGAATTAGAACAGAAGACAGACGTGGTTCAGTGATCAGAGACGAGGAAGCTGGACCTCCTGCTGGTTATCACCAACCCACTGTGGACAGAGGTGCTGACAGGGATGGAGCTGATGGACTCAACAGCTCTATTTGTACATCAGGAGCTCAAAAGCCCCTTTCTGCACCTTCCCCTGCAGCCCAGCTGTGCAGCACCACCACCCAGCGGGGCTCCCAGAACACCCTAAAGCCCTCAGAGAAAGAAGTCACTGCCATGGGCCAAACCAGCCAAAAATACGCATTATAAGGTGTGAGTGCCCACCTGGCTGTCCTGTGCCCACCTGGCTGTCCTGTGCCTCCTCGCCCGAAGCCAGCAGGTCCTCAGACATCTCTGCCGCTCCCTCCCGAGCCCGGTGCTGTTCCAGGAACAGGGAATGGTGACTCTGCAGCACATCCGTGTCCCTGAGGAACAAAGGCGGCACCGTCAGTGGGACACCCCACACATGTGGGACTCGTTTGTTTGGACAAGGGGGTCAGCACACAGTGGGAAAAGCCATCACACGTTTGTCATTAATTACCACTTTTCACTTCAAAAATGCTCAGAGTGGAAACTGTAAGAAGCCACTTGTGACCTCTGCAGAGGTGAGGAAGTTGGGCCGGGGTCACCATTGTCCCTGTCCCGAGGCTCAGGATCCAGACACACCTCACCTTTCCTGCATCCCCATCTCAGCCCTGAGGCCTCACTCCACAGGGCACAGCTGAGCACCCACTGCCCCCCCCGGCTCAGTCTTTTAACCCAGAAAACCTCAGCGCCGCAATCCTGTTTGCCAAAGATGTTTGTTTTTTCCAGTTGCTCCAGCGAAGTTTCGCAGAGGAGCGAATTCCAATTAACTCCACAAGTGTTTGTCCCTAAGAAACCATTCAGGAGACACGACAAGGTATTAGTGCCGGCAGGCGTATCAGCCTCGGCAGGAGAGCCAGGTACCGTCGGAGAGCCCCTCCTTCAGCGCTCACGAGTGCCCCGATCCTGCCAGCACTTGAGCACCGCCGAGCCTGCGACGGGAGGAAGGGCTAGACAGGAGCTGAGCAAGACAGAATGGAAATTGTTTTTCGTTCCTGCGTTAAAGAGACTGAAAAAAACCCAACTAATTCTTGCTTGTCCTTGTGCCACATGCACTGGAAAAAAAAAACAAGCAAACAAACCAACCAAACGCACTTTGCTGTTTTTAAAGCATCTTCTGCCTCGTAGAAAAATAAAATTGCTTCTCAAAATACATATTCCCTGTCCAGAGACTCGTGTTGCAGATCACAGGCTGAGAAGTCTCTGGAGTTAGTGTGTTTCCCTGCCTCCGGAGGGCAGGGATGCCCTGCCAGCATCCCAGGACAGACAAACAGGGCTTGGAGCCACCCGAAGTGCACAGGTATTGTAAATACATTCCCATTGCACCTCTTGGGAAAAAAAAAACACCCTCGTCTGAGCTTTTCAAAGCAAACAGCAAAACCACGCTGCCCGAGCTGTGTAGGAAGGGGAAAAAAAAACCCCACACATGAGCAAACAAACCATCAAAAAATCAGCCCGGGCCGAGACGCCACATGGAAATTACCCCTGTGCCGAGCAGTTTAATTCCTTCACCTCCACAATCGCAACAAATCTGGTGACCACCTACAGGTATGGGGACAGCCCGGGGACCTCAGAGGGGTTTTGATGAGGCTGCACCTCTATAATGATGCAAATGAGGACTTAACCACTGAAACAATGCGGCGGCTAATCCCGGACCGGGGGTGTAAACGGCTATTCAGGGCCCCGGCTGCCGCTTTGTGGGGCTCCCAGCCCAGCGAGGAACACCCCAGCTGGGGCAGGAGGGAGTTTAATTTCTCTCCTGCGTGTCCACAGTTAACCCCGGCTCGCAGTGCCCCGGGCGAGCAGCTCCGAGCACAAAAACCCGCAGCGTTTTCGCCCTCGTGTTGAGCCGGACCCAAAGTTGTGCCTTCCCTCGCAGTGTTGGGCAACAGCGAACAATTAAGCGGGAGCTGCCGTGCCTTTGGTCGAGTTTCCTAGACATTTAATAAGCAAAACAATACCCGGGAGATCACATAGGCAGTTAAACAGTGCTTTCTCTTTTTTCCCCCCAGCCTTACAAACCCTGTATTCCAGCGGCAGGCTCGTTTCCCATTGTTTTCCTCCCGCTGGGTGGTCCTTCCAGGGTGCCACTCGAGAGGGATACAATAATAAAAAGGGAAGGGGAAGGAAGGGACACCAACATAAAGAAAAACAAAATGTATGACAATCTGCAGCAGGCTACGGATCAGAGGTCAGCAAACAAGAGGTCCTTCTCTTTTACAGGTTGCTTCCTGGAAACAGTCTGATTAAGCTGACAGCTTGAATTATGTGTTACATTTTGTAATGCACAATCCATCTGTGCTAAGTCCCCCTCAATGCAGCTGAAGCAGCACTGGCATAAGCTCTGCCTTTTTCCACCCCCTCAGCGCAGGCCTTAAAATAGTCATCATCTTTCTCTGCGCTAATTCTCAGAGACCCTCTCCCCCCCCGGGTTTAAGGCTCAAAGAAAGGGCTGGGTGCTGTAAGGAATGGTAAGAGGACACGGAGCCTTTTCCCCTCGGATCAGCAGCTCCTGCCGAGGGCTGGGGCTGTCGGGAGGGGAGTCCCGGTGCCTTCCCGAGCCCAACGAGCCCCCACATGGTGGAGGCTGATCGCCAGAAAACAAAGCCCAGGCTCACGTGGGTCTGGCGGTGAAAACATCCAGATGTCAGAATAACCACTCCTTTAGCTGGGGAAGGCACCTGGAAATGAGGCTGAACTCATCCAGAGCTAACACATGACCTGCCAGCTCTTAACCATGGGGGGATGAAAAAAACCCCAAAACTCCTTAAAAACAGAGACTGGCACCTCTGCAGTAAGACATACAAGCTTTTCCACAAGTTCTTTAGCTCAGTGATTATTTTGCAAGGCTGGAGGGCACACGCTGAGTTTTGGGTGCCTTGGAAAGCCCACCCGGCCAGAAGGACAAGTGGAGGGAGGAGCAGTGGTTCCCAAGATCCTCCACTCCTGCCAGTTTAATTTTCAGGTAAAACAAATCAAAAACCTGCATCTTTGCTGCAGCAACAGCCAGGAGTGGTGACCCCACGCCATGCCCCGTGGACAGAGTGGTGAAAGCCCGTGTGTGATTTCCCTGGACGTGTCCCCAGCCGTGGCCTCACCAGGGACAGCACACAAGGTTAAACTGCCGGCGCTCAGCTCCCCCTCCTCCGGCAGGGACCGGCACTGCCCCGGCCCCGCCGTGATTAACAGGTGTGATACAAAGGAGAACACCGGGGGAAAAGCTATTTACATGTAAATTAGGCGATGTTTCCATAGCGAGCCACGGGCCCGACGCAAATGTGAAATGATAAAGTTACAGGAGTGCCCGTTTCTTGCTCGGCTGCCACCTACTAACACTCCAACCAATCCTGACGTCAGCACCAAAACCAGGAATGCTGGGGGAACAGCAGCACTGAACAGGTTTAAAAGCTGCAAACCACCAGGATGGAAACACTCAGCCAAGTGGCATAAGGGGAGAACTCGTTCCCCAGGAGCACTTTTACCCCTGTTCTCCAGCGGGGAGATGTCCCACTAAAACCCCAGTGGGGACCTGGGAAGGGTTGGCACAGGGCACAAGGAGGGACCTGGGCCAGCCCCAGGGACCGTCTCATGGTGGGCACTGCCCTGCTGGGCTGGGGATGCACTTCCCTGTCTCACGAGGGCGTTGCAAGGCCAACAATCTGGCTGTGCTGGATGTCACAGTCACCGCAGCCCTCGGCCACACAACCCCACAGGACACGGGGCTGGCACTGCACTGTCCTTGTTCTCCCCTCTTTTTCTGTTTCCAGACAAATGGCCAAAAGGCTGAACCAGCTGGCAGTTCTGGCCCACACAGAACAGGCTGGTTTGTACTCGTCACACAGAGCCACTGGGGTAAGATTTGTGTGCATCTGAAGAACAGCTATTGCATTCTAACACCAAACACCCTTCACTCGGCCAGCTCTGACCCGAGGGAGGTGCCTGAAGCCACTGAACCCCCAGCACAGGTCCCAGGTCCCCCAGGACAGGTGAGAGCTGTGGGCTGCAGTGCCCTAAGCAGCCCGGCTGATCCGCAGCCTCCGGAGCACGGGCAGAGAGGGAGCAGAGAGGAAACAGGGAAGGCCATACCTGCGTGGTGCTGAGCACCTCTCTGGTGCTGAGCTGCCCGAGGGCTCCTGCTGTGCCAGGGTAGGGCTCAGTGGGGGCAGTGGGGAGCCCTCCCCAGCCCGGGCATCCCCGTCCCGCTCCTGCTGCGCGCTGGCAGTGCTGGGGGTCCCCCCCTCCTCGGCACTGCTGGACACCAGGAGCTCTGCACTGCTCTCCTCCGGGCCAGCCCACCAGCTGCTCAGCACAGACTTGGAGCCTGCAATAATAAATAAATAAAAAAAAAAAAAGAGGAATTCATTGTTCTTCCCAAAACGTCAGCAGGACCAAGGACTGTATCCTAGTGTAGGAAATGAAACCAAGGTTACCCACACTTTTTGTTCAGCCCTGTCCCTTCACACGTGTGCGTGAGCATCCATCCATCCTTCTGCTTTCCCTTGGCTGTGGGTTTCCCTGCCCACAGCCCTGTGTGCTTCCACACTCCTCTCACAAGGGGGAGTCTGGGGAGGCTTTGGGGTTTGGGAACAAACTCCTCAAAAACCACCCTGGCACAGAGACCAGCTACCAGACCCAATCAGCTCTGGAGGAACAATCGAACAGAGAAGCTGGGAAAAGCTTTTCTCAGGGGAAAGGAGTGCACCCCAAGAGGCTCTGACTGTCCCCCGTGTTAACACTTTTTAGCAGAACACACGCCCAGAGGCTGCCACACCCTGCAGTTCACTGCCTGCCCCTGCTGCCGTACCTGCAACACCTCCCTGCAGCTGTCCCTCCTCGGGGGTGGCTGGTGTGGGGTCAGGAGCCGAGGAGAGGAGCTGCTCAGAGCCCTCCTCGCTGGCGGCCAGGTCCCCGTGTGCTCCCTCCAGCGAGCCCTGGGTCTCTCCAGCAGCGCTGCTCCGGCTCTGGGCACCACATCCCTCGGGGAACGGGGGCTGGGGGGGCTCCTGCTGCCTTCCCAAACCCCCCGTGGCCGAGACAGCTGGAGTGGGGCAGCCCAGGAGGGCTGTGGCTGGATGGAACTGCTTCCTTGGCACGGCTGCCTCAGTGCCGATTCCCGCCTGCGGCACCTGAAACACACGGTGGGACGTGGCTGAAGGACACACACAGGGAGCCTGCTGCAAGTGGAGCTCCTGGAGGGTGGCACACTGCTCTCTGGAGGGTGGCATACTGCTCTCTGGAGAGAGAACTATCACAGCATTCGAGTGCTTGCCACGGCATTAATATCACACAATCCCTTGGCACGCATTCCATGCATCCCGGTGTGAAAGTGAGGGCCCTCTGCTCTCGCCTGGCTGCTGCACCACAGCACAGGGGAAGGGCAGCTCCTCAGCTCACCCCACGGCAGTGGCACTACTCCCTTTCCCTCCTGGGGCACCGACCAGACACATTTTCAATGGCACTTTCCTCCAAGAACCGTTGAACTTGCACAAAAAAAACCCCAGGTCCGGGAGTACAACCACTCTGCTGCTAAATCCCAGTGTTTTAGCACTTGCCTTTTTTTTCTTCGCAGACCTACTCAATCGGGACAATTCAGGAGGAGTGGCTGCTGCCACCACCACTACTGCAGGGTCACCACCAGTTTATGCAAAGCCAAAATTAGCCATCCTAATGCCATTGTTCACATTGAGCAGGGCTTCCTTTCCAGCCCCAAATCCCAGCAGGACAATTTACAGTCACCTCCACACCTCTCCCCTTCTCTTTCACTGCCTGACCTCTCCCTCCCACACAAAGTCAGCTGCCGAGCCCAGCTGAAAGGAGACAAAGGCATCTTGTCTGGTCTGTGACCAAGGTTCCTCAAAAAAGCTCAAATTCCACGTAACAAGAAGCAGAACAAAAAGCCATGAAGTTATTTTAAGGAGAAGCAAAGGTTTGCTACTCAGATTAAGTTCACAGCTTATTCCATCACCACTGCTCTCAGGTTCCTCCTAATTAATTAGCTGGTGCTTTCAAATGCCTCCTGCCAGTCCTGCATGGCTTTGGCAGCTCCTGGATGCAGTGTTCCAAAACAAATGGAATTCAAACAGGCACAAGCTCTTGGCAGAGTCACAGCAGACACATCCCTAACGAGCTCCTCTTGGACTGCAGGGAAATAATCATCCCTTCAGCACCTTTGCGTTCTCAGAGCAGAAATGTGACAGGTTATGCTGGTCCAGGCACTGCTTTTACCACCAGAACAGGGCAGACCTGGGGGTGTCTTGCCCAGGACAGTCACCAAAGGGCTGAACTTCAGGAGCTGAACAAAGTCTCTGCAGGAACACACCTTCAGCCCTCGCCTGGTTTGCAGGGCAGGCTCCCACCATCCTCCAGGGACAAATCCCACCACTCTGATCATCATTAGAGCGTTCTGAGGGGAACAGAGACAAGAAAAGCCATTCCACTAGGGCTGACAGAAGGGCCCAGAGTCCCCTGGCAGCAGAGAACCAGGTGGGAGCTCTGGAGGACAGGTCCAGTGAGAGGCCTGTCCCTGGCCAGGCACTCCCTCACCTGGGAACACCCCTTTCCCAGGGAAGGGGGCTCAAGGTGTTCCTGGGAGGGACCCACAGCACACAGACACAGCAGTGCCAGCCTGCAGGAGTCCAGCATCTTCAGAAGGCTTCAAGGAAGTGCTTCCAAGTTGAAGAAGCCAGACTTCACAGCACAAAGGTTTCAGGAGCTCTGCCAGACGGGATGGACCTCCTCAGTGTGGGACTTCTGAGCTTAAGGACTCCCACAAAACCTGGGACCCCAAAAGGGTGCATATCCCGCGTCTCAAAGATGTACCAGGTATTCCTGGGGGCATTCAGGCCACTGGGACACTGACCACCACTGGAAGACCGTTTCTAGGACTGTCCTTAGTCCCCAGGATGTGCCACTGATGGGCTCATCACACAGTCCCTGGATCCCAACCCGCCTGAAGGAAGCCATCGCAATTCCAGTGCTGGTAAGTGAAACCACTTCCGTGATCCATATCCTGGATATCCCAAGTCACAGCACGAGCCTTTGACGTTCTAGTACTGATGTCAACTTTTCCCTGGGTTAGAAATCCCACCTCCCACACCACCTGCTCTAACTGAGCAACCCAGCATTCCAAAATAAACTCCTCTTTCCCCGCACCTCCCAATTCCAGCCGCAATTCCCACCCTGCTGGAGGCCTGGCCTATGTAGGTCAAGGCTGCTCGGGTTCATTGCTTTGTATATTACAGTTTAAAGAACGCTCTAAATTCAAGGTTTTTAACTTTTTAATCTACGGGGAAAACTTCCTATAAACTCAGATTAACGACTGCTAATGCACTGAAGAAACCAGACCAAAAACCTTCCTCCTACTATAAAAACAAAATAGTGTGGCCTCTGTTTCTTTTCTGATAAGAGTCTTAAATACCAAACATTTAACTGCATAATAACATTCCCTGGCAGCCAGCAGCCTGCTTAGCAGATACATAAAGCAGGTAAAAGGGGAAAAAAGTTAATTTCTTGGCTGAATGATTCCATCGGTAGCTATAGGGCAAACTAGAAAGTCTTTCAGTAAAGTAGCAGTTGATTCTTCTATCAATCTGCAGCACACACACACTCTTCCAAGGAATGCATTAAATATGAAAATCATATCCCGTTATCATCTGCTCCCAGCTTTCAGCCCAGTAAGCTCCCGTTAATGAATGCTGCAGCCTGAGGGACGCGGCACCGCCGGCTCCTCGGCAGAATGGGGAGATGTTCCCATCCTGCCTGGCTGAGGGGCTCCCACACACAGTCACAAGTGACTACTCTTGCCAGCATGCTCCAAGTTATTACCAGGCGGTTTTTAGACATTTCATCTGAAAGAGCTTTGCCGCTTTTTAGTGGAGGAAGCGGCTCCGGTCTTGAACTGTATCATTTATATGGAGATAGGAGGAGGGATTAGGGGCCTGCATTACTGCAGATATATGGCAGCAGATATTTAAGTATTCCTTGTCAGTCTTTTTTGTCTGTCCCTTAGATATGCAATCTCCTTCTGCTTCTTCTGAGGAAAGGTCAAAACACACAAAATTATAAGCACACCACGGATCCACCGCCGCATTTCCACAAATATCCCTCATTTAGGAACACTCCCCCTCGGCCACGACCATCTTCACACCATCCAGCACGGGAATTAGAAAACCAAACAAGACGTGCATAAACAATCAGGGTGGTTTGTTTTTTAATTCCAGCTCTTTGGTTGAAATAACTGCACTTTTTACCCGGGTGATTCTCCTCCGCTCAGGCACTGAACACCGTTTCACACTGCCAGGACTGAAATCCCCACGGAAAAGGCTGCACAGCCCTGGAAAAAAGCCCATTCCCCCCCATTACCTGCTCGCTGGATCCTTCCTCCTTGTCACCTCCTGCTGACAAGCTGCCCTCTTGAAGGGATAACAGGCTTTTAATTTCCCTTCCGTACCACGCCTAAAAGGGGAACAAATCCGTCACACAAAACTGGAGGCCAAAATCCAACACCCCCCCACATCCAAACCAACAGATGTTACTTTGCAAACTGTGCACCTTGAAACGTAAAGCCCTCGCAGCCTTTTTCACCCAGACTACATTTAAAAAGCCAGAGATCCCATTTTCCCCTCATTCCCTCGGGAAACTGTAAACATGGAATTTTAGGAAACAAAACCTCGCCACGTGAGAATCAAGAGATGCTCAGAAGAAACTCAGATGTAACTCCTGAATTTTCCTGAAAGCTTAAGTGAATTTATTTGTACTCCTAAAAATTACTGGCCAGACTGCAGACAAACACAGGGAGCAAAAGAGCATCTTTCAGAAACAAAAGAAGTTTTGTGAGCTACAGCCACATAATAAATGTGCCCAGAGTTGTGATAAAGCACTCCTAAAGGGCATTCTCTGTGGAAAAAAAAAGAAGAGAAAACAGTAATAATTTCTGTCCGTGTACTCCCACGATAGATTAAATGATTACATGCTCCATAACTCTTCTGCTTTTCATAACTAGCATGGAGGAGATGTCATTTGTTCAGCAGCTCAGAAAAATAACTGTAACTTGGCAAAGATAAAATGGATGGCACGGAAACATCAAAATGGAAGGACTGAACAAAAACCCCACGTGCAGATCGACCCCTGGCATGACTGGGACTCACACCAGAGTGTCAGAACCACCTGCCTCTGGTCAAACTGGTGTGGAAAAAAAATCCTAGAAAACAGCAGGGGAAAGCTGGGACCATGGCACACCCCTCCTGCTGCTCTGCTTCAAGTAACAACTAAAAAATCAGAGTGAGGGGAATCACACCCTCTCCACAGACAGTTTGAGCTCTGGGTTCGCTGCAGCCAGGAAAAGATCCAAACAGCCACTACCTGGGTGACAGCTGTGTGAGGAATAAACACAGCCAAAGGTTTCTGAAGGATGCCACTGCTCACTCCTCTCCCTGACTGCACTCCCCCAAAACCCCAGCTCCCTATATTAGTGGCAAGAGCACAAATCACAGCTTCGGTTTTAAAAACCTGAAGTTGCCACTTTGCAACATCCCAAATTGTTTGTTGGGGAATAGCAAGACAATATAATAATAATAATAATAATTTTTAAGAAGTCCTCAAGGCTTGACTTTATTTCTAGCAGCCTGTTCAAGCTGAAGTGCTTCAGGTGCCGCCCGTTCTATAACCTGAAACAGGGATCCTGAAACAGGACGTGCAGAAATCTCTTTGCCAGTAACAACAACAGCAAACACTAATGAACGCATCAAGTCTTATAGAAAAGTTACTTCCATCTTGCGGATCATCTCCAGACCTGTGGTGTCCATGTGCTCCTGCAGCCGGCGGAATTCCTGCCGGTAGGACTGGTTCCTCCGCAGGGCCGACTGCTGGCGCTGGGACACCACTGCCAGCTGCTCCTGCAGCTCCAGGGACTTCACCTTCAGCCTGCAGGGACAGAGGAGCTGCACTTAGAAAGCGTGACAGTAAAACAAAGGCATCTATTGCAATCACTTCTCCTCACAGCACGGACAGGGGAGCTGCCCCCAGGGCTCCAAAAACACACATTCTTCTCCATATATATATATATATATATGTGCCACTTCCCTGCAGACTCACACAGGGGCTTTGGTGTTCAAAAGGGTAAATATATTAAAGAAAAAAACTCTTGTGCGTGTGTTTTACACGGGTTATGTTCTTATATTGCACCGAATCAAAGTGAAAACTGCCCGCAGAGGAACGTGTTCTGAGAGACTGAGGTTTCACAGCTGCCTAAATCCACGGTGCCACCAAAATAGGCACTGAAAAACCCATCAGAACCAGTTCTCACCCAGCTACAAACCACGTTCCCTTTCGGCCAGGCCTGTTCCCTTATCTGGTTGCAGGGCAGCCACACAGCCTTCCTGCCAACACGGGGAAACGGGAGCCAGGGACACCTTTTTAAAATAAAATAACCTCCAAGGAGCTTTTAAACAGGCTTACAGGTATGGATCAGCCATTGTGTATTCCATCAGCTGCCTCTCTAGTTCCAGCCTTCTGGCTTCACTGCAAGACAACAAACAAACAAACACAGGGTAAGATAAAAATATTTCACTGTTTGAAGTGTCCAAAATGCCAGAAGTGAAGCGTTTTGCAGAGCACAGCCCCTGGCGAGCAGAGAGCTCAGCTCTGCTGGGAGTCACACACTGATCTGCCAGCCCAGCTTAGCACAAAGCACACACCTCACAGCTTTCACTCCCCTCTTTGTTCCTCACTGGAACGGGGTTGCTGTGAAGGGAGAAGAGGCCTGAACATCCACCCACCAAACAGCCAGAGACCCTGCCCAGCCACAGCTGCTGTTCAGAGCCCCAGGAAGGCCAGTTCTTGTGCTCACCCCTCCCTTTCTCCCCCACACAATCCCACAGCAGACCCCTTTCCGTGCAGGGAATCCTTGGCTGGACTTGTTCCCAGGACAACTCCCCAGAACCTCTCACAGGGACAGGTCAACACCTTAAAACACTTCCAAAGCCGGCCAACTCTTCACTGGATCACTGACCCCACGTGCCAGCCAAGGATTTTATTGGACTTCAAACCAGGGCACAGGCTGTGGGGACAGTCACATGCTGAAGCACAAACACCTCACCTAAAGCCATCCCAAAGGGAAGCTGTTTTGGGGACCACAGTAAAGCTGCTGTTGTTTAATAGTTGCAAATTGCACCTGAGGAGGAGCAACCATCCCAGGAACAAAAAAATATAAAATAACCAAGAAGTAAGGCAGAGACTTTCCAGCAGATCCCATTACAAACCCTGCCATGAGCAAATCCAAACCCCAAGTTCTTCTTAAAAACCAGCAAACAGTTGTGAACAGGCAGAAAGGGTATGGGACATGCAGGAGATCACATCTCCACACATCTGGGCACGCTTCTTCACGGATTTGGGATCTCCCTACACACAAACACACCTCCTCCCAGCCTCCCTGCGCAGAGGAAAGCCAGGAAAACCCCTTCCTGCTGCTCCATGTGAGACATCAAGGCGTCCCTTTTACCCACCTGATCCTGCCACCGCCTGGAAGAGGATTAGGGTTTCATGTTGTGTACACAGCTAAAGAGCCACACTCCACCTGGGATCTCATCCCTGCCATTTCCTCCTTTGCCAGGCAAACACAGACCTCAGCAGCTTGTTTTTACACTTCCTGAAATCATTTTGCCTCAGTGGAGAACACAGATACCCTGACAGGTGAGAACAGCCATTGGCTCCCACCCTGCTTCCCACCCTCCCATCCCACAGCTCCCTGATGCCTGTTCCCTCCTGCCAGCCAGTGTTTTCAGCATCCCACTCGTGTCTGCAGCAGCCATTTAGGCAGCACAGGAATGCACCAGGAAGGGCTCCTGGAGGGAAGGTGCAGCCATACAAGCCCCCTCTGGGCATCAGAGTATCCCTCTAGTGCCCAGCGTGGCACTGGCACAGCTCTGTAAGGATCCAGGCAGCTCATCTTCAAACAACCCCGAGTCTTCAGCCTACAGAGAGAGTGTCAGTTTGGGATTTGGGAGCAGAATTCAATTCCCTGGCCAGCCACAAGCCCTCTCTAACCTCTGGCATCCCCCAGGCATTGTTCTGCAGTAGCTTTAACCCCTCACCTCCCACTTAAACCAGCAGGACTGAGGTGCCCCAGCAGTTTTTGAGATCCCAGGCCTTGGTCTTGCTGTGCTCCAGCTGCACATCCACAGTGTGGGAGCAGCGGCGCTCCAGCCACTGGTGAGATATAAGTCCCTGGAAAGCTGCAAATCCTGGAGCACCCAAAGCACCTGAGGCACCCGCCTGGCTGCCACAGCTGAGCTAATTGCCCAGTTACTCTAATTACCAAGTTACTCAGGGAGTTAAGTGCTGCACTTCACTGCACAATTCATTTACTCCGTGCCCACACCACTCAAACCCTGCCCTCCTCACTGCAGCTGCCCGAGTGCAAGTGCTGAGTAATCAGCAGAGTAAGTGCTGAGCAACCCCAGCAGGGTCAGGGGTGCGCTGAATCCCTGCCCCGATTCTCTTATTACCTCGGGCTCTTCAGAACTAATCCTTCGTGGTCCTGCACAGCACAGGGATCCCACCCGCCTGCACAGCGAGCTGAGCGTGCAGCACGCCTGTGTTCAGAGCAAAGTGCCAGCACTAGGAACTGAAACACAGCAAACAGGGTCTGCAGCGTAATTTAAGGTCCAGTTATGGGTTTTTCCCAAGTCTCGGAGCATCCCACCACACCAGGATTATTAGGGAAGCGATGCACGGCAGCCCTGCGGAAACACGAGCCACCTGCAAGTTTGGATCCTCAGGGCCCGGGTGGTGTTAGAAATAACAGCGATGCCGATGTCTGAGCCCCAGCCCCAGCCTCCTGCGAGACACAACAGTACCAGTAAGCCAGGAGCGATCCCGAGGGGTTCCCCTGGGCAAAGCCGCGACCGGAGCAGCCACCGGGCACCGCCGGAGCATCGCGGAGCTCCGAGGGGCTCCAACAGGCGCCTTTCCCCGAACCCGCAGCCCCTGCGGCGCCCAGAAAACACCGTCAGGGTGCTCGGAGACGAGAAAGGCACGGCAGGAGAACCTCTGCGCGGGCCCGCTCGGCACCGGGAGGGCGTTCATCGGCGTGGTTTGCCGAAGCGAACCAGAGCGTCTGCGAAGGTCAGCGGAGCCCCGGCCGCGCCCCGTCCCCAGGGGATGGGACGGGAGGGGACGGGGCGTACCCGAGGCGCTGGATTTTCCTTCGCGGATTCACCTGCGGCTGGAAACGCGACGTTCGAACCCGCGCGGGGGCCGCTCACCTGTCGCGGAGGCTGCGGAGCCGGGGGTCCCGGAGGTCCCGGGGGTCCCGGTGCCCGGCGGTGCCGGTGGGTCGGTCCTGGGAATACCCGGTGGTGCCAGCGCGGGCGGTGCCCGGTGGCGCCGGTAGCCGGTGCCGGGGCTGTCGGTGGCCCCAGCGCTCCAGGGTGCCGGTGCTGTCCGGTATTCCCGGTGTTGTTCCCGGTGCTGCCGCCGTTCCCGGCCGGTTTCCGCCGGTGCCCACGTGCCGCTCCCGCCGTGCCCCGCGCGGGACGCCGGAAGTGCCGCCCCCGCGGTTGCCATGGGGACGGGCGCTTTAAAACCCCTCGGGGGCGTGTTTAAGGTTTTACGGCGTCTTTAAAGCTTTTATGGCTTTTTTTTTTAAAGCCCTGGGTGGTTTTCGAACAGGCCGGGGAGCGTTGCTGGAGCGGGGGAGGCGGCGCAGGTCCGAGGACTGTCGAGATGTGAAGCGCTCGTTCCGGCTCTGTCCGATCCCGGTGTCACATCCCGGTGTCACATCCCGGTGTCGGGATCACCTGCGACCTCACATTGTGTTGCTGTTCGCGGGGCTGCGGGGCCCAAACAACCCTCCGGCCTGGTGCTGGAGGAGACCTGGGGCGAGGCAGGGATCTGTGCCCCTGGAAAACGGGGAAATGGGGAGGACTTTGCAAAGCGCCAATTCCAAAAATAACCGGGAGCTGGTCAACGGTTACAGTAACACGGCCCTCCTCTAGCAGCTGATTTCCCTGAGTTTATTGCATGCTTCATTTTTCACGAAAAAACCCTGATTCCTCATCCTCTGAAGTGCCATCGTGTCCCTCTGGTGATGTCACCTCACCAGCCCCGACAAATCCCCCCCAGTGTTCTCATCTCCAGCTGGGAATGAAAACAAAAACCTCGTCTTTCATTTCCAGATAAAAACTTCAATCCCTTTGAAAGGAAGTTGCCAAATTAGCGCTTGAATTCCAGTGGCCCCAATAAAGTCTAAATACCGCAGGAGTAATTGAAATTAAGGAGGAATGCTACATCAATAGACAAAAATTGCGGAGAGCAATGAAATGCTTAAGCATAATTAGAACAGCAATCAGTGTACAATTAGTGCGAGATCATCATCGTAATTATCCTTCGTTAGAACTTCTGGCCAACAGCAGCCCCATGAAAGCGTCAGCTGGAGCTGCAGGCACCGCCTGAAGGGTCTGTGCTGGACCTGGGGGGTTCCTCGGCCGGGTTTGGGTTATCCAGCAGCACTCCTTGAGTTTTCCAAAGCCCTCGGCTACCAACTCGGCTCCACCAGACTTAAATTCAGAGTAAAAAGCTGTGTGGAATGGATGGAGAGGGACTCAGCAGCCCCCAGATTAGCCTGGCTCAGCCTCTGTGTATCCATATAAATAACGGGCTCGGCAAGATGTGGAAGGCTTCGGCTGGGGTCAGAGCTTTCCTGCCCCAGGGATCACCAGGCAATGGGTTTGCAGATCTGGGAGCCTTTTAGTATTGAATTCCCAGCATTAAGGACGCACTGTTCACTCTCACTCCTTTGTTTACTGAAAGCCAGGATGTGTTTCGGGGAGATCTCACACCTTCACAAGAGCCCACAGGTGAAATCTGGCCCTGAGCTTGCCTGAATTTCCAAAGCTGGGCATTTTCCCCCCAGATCCCGACCTTACAACCACAGCCCCCCACAGCCTGCCCTTTCCTTTACAAACACATGGAGCTCTGGCATCTCAGCTGCCGACACGACACCTCTGCCCTCTGAGAGAGCCACTTGTAGGGCTACGAATTGCCCGGAGCCTTGGTCCAGCACAAGGTTCTTCCTTAGTCCCAGGGGCAGATAAAATGGGAATAAAAAGGTTTTCATGGTCGCCTCATAGTTAAAATTGCTTTTTCCCCCTCCAGAAGGCTTCTCATTGCTGATATTTACATCAAAACAAACAATTCCCCGCTTTGACACAAAGGGGAGACACAAAAAACTTACTGTTTATTTTTTAATTATTATTATTATTTCATTTTTATTTATTATTTCAGAGTATCAGCCATGAAATGTGCTCTGTGGGGCTGACATGGGTTTTAATGTGTCGCTGAGTGTCAGGGCTGAAACTGTCAGAGGCTGCACAAGAAAACACTGTCCCATACCACAGTTCTGCTATTTTTCAAAGCCAGGAAAGACTCTGACTTCCTTCAGCCTGTCCCAGCCACACACCAGGGTTGGTTCTGGGAGACTCAACTGCTTTGGAAAATATTTGTGCTTGCTAAAATAATACCTAAAGTAGTACAAAACCTCCAAGCGCTTCCAGCGCTGTGTAAAATGCTGAGCACAGGTTGTATTAACACACTGAAAACCTTATCCCCAAACGGTGATTCCAGGTTTTGGTGGAAAAGGGCTGATCCCTGGCCCACTGGGGTTGTTTGTCTCCTGGGCTGTCCCAACCCTGGGAGGTTTTTTTCGCTCGGTGGAGTAGCTGTGAGAGGCTGGAGGGTGTTGTCAGGAAAGAACAACTCAACCCCCTGCTGTTTATTTAACAAAAATTAAGGAAATCAGGAGCCTTAGCCTGGTTCCCTGGCTGTATTTCCCACTCTGTTCATGTCTCAGTGCTCACTGTGGCCGCTGATCCCACAGACAGGCTCATAATTGACTCAAGAATAATCTTATTCCTCTCTTCCCTGATAAGGAACGTGGTCCCTGTCCCTGAAAGCCTACAAAGAGGAGTGTTTTGTTTGTGTTCTCCCTGCAGTACTTCACACTTCTTTTAGATTGTTTTAATTTAATTTTGATGTAATCTGATAAGAGCTGTAAAACTGTCAAAGGAATCTGCCTCCTTCTGTCGCATTAAATACACTTTGAATGAAATGGTGGTTTTTGTCCCCAGTAGCTGCCAAACCAAAGCATCTCTTGATTCGAGCGCAGGGATTGATGTGCACTAATCTTAACAGCTTCACACTCTGTTTAATTTAGGGAGGCAGCCACGTGTCCCTCAGCATCCCGCTCTCCTCCGGGATGGAGCCGTATCCCGAAAGGTGTGGGATTCACCTCACGGAGCTGAGCACCTGGCACAGGGTGCTCACCTGCAGGGGGAAAACAGGGATGGGAGAGAGAGAAGGAAAGGTCTCTGCCAGAGTTTTTCCTGCCCTGCTTATCTCCTCCAGGCTTTTCCTCCTCAGGTGCCACATCATCCCCCTGTCTCTCCCTCGGCCTCTCATCTACCAGGGGCGTGGGATTTGCTGATTTTCCTGAGCAGTGGATCTGCACAGTCTGGCCCAGCCTCTGCTCGGGAGCCAGGGAAGGGAGGGGAAGCCCCTCGGACCCAGAAAGTCACGGCACAGCTGAACACATCTGCTTTTCTTTTTCTCAGTTAGACCCGTAGCACAGGCCCTCATAGCTTTGTCAAAACATACACAAAAATTGACATAATGCCCTTAGAAATCCTTTTTGTTAACGACTCAAGCCCCAAATGCAGAGCACTAACAACACACCAGTAATTAGAGAGCAGTAACAGCATAGACCAATCTCAGCAGAGCAGTCGAGAGGATCCAACTCTCAGTGGCCATGCCTGGAAACAGTAATTAACGTGTTGAATGCGATGTTTACATTTTAATACATTTAAATGTGACAAAATGCTTTTATTAAATGTTACAGTCCCTTGAAAGCTGTTATTCCTCCTCGCTGATGCCCCAACAGCACACTCAGTGTCCGGCTGCAGCGGGTGGGATCTGCTGTGACAGGGCGGGCGACACGAGTTCCTCCAGCAGGGACCTGGAACGCAGAACCCAAGGGCCGATTAAACAAAAACCTGGAGACTGCAGCACTTAAAGCCATATAATGTTTATTAAAAATGTCAGGGCCCTAGCCAAAGCCTAGTGACATAATTGAAAAGCCTTCAGGCACGTCATTGTGCATGGATTTTGAATTAATCCTGGAGGATTGAGATACGAGCACAAATCATTGTTTACGGCTCCGTGTTGTTTGTGAGCCCCGGGAAAGCCACAGCACAGGAAAGGACCCGGTTTAGAGACCATTTGTCAGGAAGCATCCCTCCTCTTCAGCCATTTCCAAGTGCTTTTCCAGTCTCCTGCATGGCACAGGAGGCTCCACGAGCAGAAGGGAGCAGGTATTGCCCGGCTGAGGCTGTTCCAAGGCCAGGCATCCAGAGAGGATGTCAAGGAGATTTCAGGTCTCTCTGCTTCCTCAGCAATTCAGTCACTCCTGTGTCCAAGCAGATGTGAGGAGTTACCCTGTCCCAGTTTGTCTGCTGCTGTCTGAAGAGGAAAGAGGAGATTGACTATGTTGCACTTTCCCATTCCTGGAGAAACGAGAACTAAACTGAGAACTGAACTGAACTGAGGTGTGAGCCCAGAGGCTGAATTTGAACCAAACCAGTCACAGCCAAAGGGCTCAATTCCCATCTTCTCTGAAAGTATCTGTGCCTCACACCCCAGAGCACTGTGTGCCACCACTCCACGAACTTCTGTTCCTCAAGCTGAACCAGTTTTGGTGTATTTCTGTGCAAGAAAGACTATTTTGGCTCATTAGAGAACGTCTCTTTCAGGCCTGCAGTAACCAAGCAGAGAGCAGGAGAAATGGCTCACTAATCCAGGGCCAAGCTCGATGCCACAAGTGCCCCTTGGGGTCCCACGGCAGGAGGGACAGGGCCCCTCTCAGCTGCAGCTTGAGGTGCCACAGCCTGGCACAGGGCAGAGCCTGCCACGGGCACCACGAGTTAACCCCTTCCTTACAGGTCTGGGATGGAGAATATCCCTCTGGAGGCTCAAAGCTGTGAGGGCTCCCCGTGCCTTGGCGGTGCTGCAGGGAGGGAAAGGGAGACTCTGCACCCACACCCGTTCCTGGCACACAACACCCCACCTTGCCTTCCCCGGGCAGTGCCCTGCATTAAGCCATGTTTTTGCCAGGATCCTCTTTTTGAAGGATGGTACCTTCACCTGGCCACGCTATTCCCGTCTCCAGCTGCTCCCCAGCTCCTGCCAGAGAGGCCACAGCCTGGCCAGGCCACTCCATCTTGCTCAGTCTGAACGCTGCTGCTGCTGCTGCTGCTGCTGCTGGTGCTGCTTTAAAGGACACAGATCTATCAGGCTCTTTTATTAGCATTTTAACAAACGAGTGGATTCATCTCCCGCACTGACTGAAAGACTGAAAAAGTTTTGCTTCTACAAAAGTCATGAAAAATTAAAGGGAAAATATAAAATAAGCGGGGAATTCTTTTAGCTGAACTA